ATTCTAAATATGAACCCCAAAAGGAACTACTTTGGGGCCTTTGGGTAGTGTTGAAAGATTCCCGCAGTGAAGGCCTTGGTTAAGGGGTCAATGCGTGGGGTACATCGTTCAGGTTTCGCAAGGTGCTGGTATCGTTTAGAAGGGGCTCTTACCCTGTAATAGTGACTATACGGATTGCATTAAGGCCCTATTGTATTCCTATTATGCCACTATTACAGGGTCGTGGCCCCTTCCAAGGTATAGTGATCAAAGCGGGGTTACAGGGCTTCGGTTTGAGCTTCAAGTTTTAGCAGTGCTCTGCAGACTTGCACTCCAAGGAGCATGAGCCGTTTACAGGGATGCTACTGCCTGCAATTATGTAACATATACACGAAGTCATATTCCTATGTCTAAGGTCCCAGATAGTGCCCCAAACCCCTCTCGAAGTAAGCGGGGTTTCCGAAAATAGGGGACCCTAATATAGTACCCAAATTAGTATTGGTTCCTTATTATAATATAGTACCCTGGTGTAGGATCCTTATTATAGACCCTACGTTCGGAACTCTCCGAGGCGGATTCCCATCTCGCCTGGCAATGGCGACTCTGCTCTCATTCGGGTAAATGTCAAAATTAGGGCCCCTTGTTGGGTACCCTAAATATTAGGTGCCGTATTATAACAAGGACCCAAAAAGGGACCATAATTTTGACAACCACCCAAATTCAGAAATTCCAATGCCCCTTAATCATCTACAGTACTAGGCGTCTCACCTTATTATGCCCTTATCGTCCTTAATGCAGCTGTACTACAACATGTCGCGAAACTCTATTCTAACTATCAAGGCCCTGGTAATGCATATTTCCTGCTCAAGGAGTATTTTGGGGCTCTTGCTCGGGCGCCTGGTTGCTGTTCTTTGTTTTTGGCACCGTTTCCGGGCTTGGGCTTTTGGGCCCGGGTTTCAGGGCATTGGGCATTGGGGTACTTGAACTTGTTGAGGCTTTTTCAATCCTGAGGACTTTGGTGCTGTATAGCTTTGAGATTCAGGGTTTCGCGTACACAAAAAGCTGAACCCCAAATGCGTTGCTTCAGGATCGTTCCCTGTGCCGAAAACATTCGCAACTTTCGCCGTCATATCTTATGCACCACAGCTAGCGAGGATAGGATGCCCCCAACAAAAACTATTCGATGATTGGAGGCCTCCATGTCAAGGGGTTTAGGGCGTAGGGTTTAGCAATATTTTGTTGTTTCTTGCCGCAGTGAGACCCCTGTCTCCAGACCCTGCTGGGGCTCTTCAGCTTTCTCGGTCTGTAGCATGCGGGCACCGGCACCCAGTTGAAATTGTTGGTTTCCGTTTCCTTTCGATCTTCGGTAGCAGAAGGATTTTGTAGAAGTGGTTGATGGGCAGGTAAGAAAGGGGCCTAAATACTTACCAGTACTGTTTTGGGGGTTCCCTAATAATTTCTAATATTCTGGGCCCCAAAACCTTATTCTAATCATAAAGGCCTCTACATTTCTATAACCCGCTCTGTCGCTCTGAAAAGCGCGCGACAGGATGTAGGGGGGTGCTACCACGATCGGGTTGGGATGCTTAAAATCGTCTGAATCTGCCCAACCGAAACCCCTCAACCCGAAACATCCAGGCAGGCACTGGATGCTGTGATGGGTGGCGGCGCAGCTGTTTGGGAGGTCTGTCCCCGCCGCTCCGCTCTGTTGTCATTTTTGGGGTTTTGGGCTTCGGGCTTTCCTTTAACCCCTAAACCCTGAACCACAAACCTTAAACCCCAAACCCCTGAACTCTAAACCCCTGAACCCTAAACCTTAAACTCCTGAAACTTTAAACCCTAGCTTGTCTTCGTTGGACCAGGATCTTGCCGGCCTTTCGGGGTTTCTTGCTTTCACTTGGAATCCCAACCCCTGCCTAGTGTAGAAGCCTGTTTTAGTAATTATCATTTCTATTGTGGGGGTTCCTTAATATGGTTATAGTTTACTGTACCCCAAAACCCTACTCTAAATTGTTAAGGCCCCTGCAGTAGTGGGGCTTCGTCCCGGTGCTGCAACGCAGCGTTTCTTGCACCGGAAGTTAGGCTAGAGGTCTCGGTGCCCCTGAGCCCAAGCCTCAGACCCCATAGTAGTTCCTTTTGTGGTTCAAATTCAGAATCCTATAAGGTAATCCCAAGAAGGAACTATTATGGGGGCCTTGGGGTAAGCCTTGCACTTTAGTCAGATCTCTCTGTCTCCCGCTCCCATGTCCCAGTCGGCTGAGTGAAGAATCTCAACCAAATGTCCGAGCGAAGAGTCCCCAACCCGCTAGTGAAACCTGCCGCTGATGATATAAATCCTGCATTACCCATAATAAGGAATATACCATAATTCCCATAGTTTAGGGTCCTTAAGGTAGTGCAGGATATATATTATCAACCCTAGTGGACCCTAAACCCTACACTGCGCCCCAAAACCCGACAAACCTAAACCCATGTGTAGCTTTACTAAAACTTTCCCCCGGATCCTTTTTCCATCATCAAGGCCCCTATATGAGAGTTTCCGAAAGTTAGGGGTACCTTGTTTGGGGGTCCTTATAATAAGGATCATACTATTTAGGGTACTATATTAGGGTCCCCTATTTTCGGAAACTCCCATATTCCAGCTTGTTTTTGCGGCAGCCTGGAGGGAAGTAGCACACCATTGCAGGATCGAGCCAGCTTTCTTAAATTGAGGGTGCCAAGCACCAAGGAACGGAAAGCCCGCCACAATGGGGAATGGGACTTGGTGGGGGCAAAGATTCTAGTACCTCGGGTCCAGAAGTGAATTCCCTTCTTCTTATAGTGCATCATTCGTTGAAGCCTAATAGAGGAACCCTTAATGATGACCTATACTATTTTGGGGGCTCCCTTATTATGGTTATAGTATAATGGGCCCCGAAACCCTATTCTAAATTATTAAGGCCCCAACCCTAAACCCTAAACCCTAAACCCTACAGTACCCCTGAAGTCGAACAGACCCGCGCGCTGAAATCTGCAAGCAGAACGGATCCTTGAGAGCCATCCTCCTGGCTCCCAAAAGCAGATGGCCATGACAGCTTCGATTCATGCGTCTCAGACTCAGTATAGGGTTTAGGGTTTAGGTCTCAGACTCAGAATAGGGTGTAGGGTTTAGGTCTCAGACTCAGATGGTATAGGGTTTAGGGTTTAGGTCTCAGACTCAGATAATAGGGTGTAGGGTTTAGGTCTCAGACTCAGATGGTATAGGGTTTAGGGTTTAGGTCTCAGACTCAGATAATATAGGGTGTAGGGTTTAGGTCTCAGACTCAGATAGTATAAGAGCTACTATCGTAAAGCTCCACAGCCCTCTTCGAAGTGGTCGGACCCCTGTGGCAGACATGGACCTTCGCAACCCTGTACCCTAACCTCATGATAACCCCCAGCTGTCCAAAAACAAGCCACATGGAACGATCCCATTTCACAAGAGTTTCCTTGATAAGAACGGGCCGGCCCTTGAAAAGGAGCACCTGTCCGGGTATACGATAGGGGCCTTAGTAAATACCTACATTATGTTGGTGGTTCATCATTAAGGCCCCCAAAGTAAGGCTTGCCTCCGTGAGATGTATCGTGACTATTTGTAGTGCCAAGAAACATCGGTAATGATGACTTGGGCCCTGAGCGCAGCCCTAGACCTTAATTTAGCACGACCCCATAACCCCTGAACCCGCAGCTCTAAACCACAGGATACCCCAAGCACAGGGGAGCCTTGAACTTGCAGCCCTTAACACGGAATGCGCATCCCGTGCCCATGTCCGCAGCAGCTAGCCGCAGAGAGGTTGCAGCTGAGACAGGTGCACTGTACTGCTCTAGGGGGGTCTACCTTAAACTTCCATGGCCTACTGTACCTGTTTCTAGGTCCTATTACGAAACCTACGGTTTTGGTAGTTAAGGCAGGGTTTAGGGCTTCGGGAGTTGAAGGTCTCACGACCGACCAAGCAGGAGAGTTTGAAAGCTTCTCTTGAAATGAATGCATCCAAGAAACCTTCGATTTAGAGATATAGCTGAAGCTATATTCTGACTCGGCGCAGCATAAATGTGTGAGCTTGGGCCTCAGATGGTTTTGACCAGACATGCAATCGGGGTACAAATAGCTGCCTACTACAGCCTCTGCAACCTTTAAACCCTAACATGCCGCACCTGTACAGTGTGTCACCCTACGCCTACACCCCAAGACCGCATATGCCGAAGAGGCTTTGCAACGATGAGTCCCAAGCCTTCTACGCACCCTTGCTACTGTAGAGCTCCAGCTGTGCCTCTTAGGCCTTCTTCGGGCACCCTACACCCTCAGGATGTTGTATCGAGACGATACAACATGCATGATGGTTTCAGTGTACGGTTGTATTATTTAGAGATCCGGTTGTTGCAGTTTAGGTTTTGTAGGGGCTAGGGCCTCAGCTTTACCACGTGGGGTGTAGGGGTTTTGTAGTGCCGCTTGCATGACGACACAGACATTCATCTCAGCCAAGAGTTTGCGCATGCATGAGCTGAACTGGTGAGGCTTTCGTTCCCTTTCTCTTTGCACAGATGCGTGAGAAAGTCCGTGAGACGGAGTTCTATGTTTCAGAAGAGGCAAGCAACATTTCGAAGACATGGCAGAGTTGTTACTGTTCCGATTTCCAGCCTATATCTATCGATATATATATATATATATATATATATATATATATTCATATATTCATATGCGTATATATATATATATATATATATACAGTAGAAGCCAGAAAGTTGGAACATGGCTTTAGGAGGATTAGTGCTAGGATCCCGTATACTTTCCCTTAAGACCATGAGGACAAAGATGTTCCAACTTTCTGGCTTCTACTATAGAGAGAGAGAGAGAGAGAGAGAGAGAGAGAGAGAGAGAGAGAGAGAGAGAGAGAGAGAGAGAGAGAGAGAGCGAGAGAGATAGATAGATAGATAGACAGATAGATAGATAGAGGGTTGCCTGATTTTGGTTAAGCTTTGCCCCAAGTCTGCGTATCGGAGCAATGGCTTTCAGAACCTTGCGCCTCTTGCTGCTGCTGCTGCTGCCCTGTGCAGCGAGTTTGCCTGTGCCCTTGCGCCTTGGAGGAGAATATCGAAGCCTAAACCCCAAGGGTCCAAAGGACCCAATAATTAGGTACTCGGATTTTGGATAGTAGCTATGCAGGTTAGGATTTTGGGGGGTATAGGTACTTGGACCCTTGGGGTAGATACTTAAAAGATACTATGCCTCAGGGTTCCTTTTTGCTACAGTAAACCCTAAACCCTAAACGACGATGAGCCCTATTCCAATCTTTCATGCCCCAAACTTTCAGCGTCCCTTGTTTTGGTCAGCGCCCATGCCTGGTTTGGGGAGATTCTTGGGAGACTTAAGGTGTTTGCCTTTTAGTGCTTGGCTGACGCAAGCCAGGAAACTCAGTATTCTGCGCAGAACCATCAATACCTCAACCGCCCCCTCCCCCCCGCCCCTGGCTTTTCTGCGAAGGAACCCGTCTTTGGCTTCCTTAGAACTCGTTGCAAAGCCAGGGGATTCAGTTTTCGGGGTCGCATGAACCTAGTGTCTGATGTATCATTCTGTTGCTTTGAGTCTCTGGAATGAAGCAGTCTCAAAGACCTGTAGACTAAACCTAAACCTGAAAGAAGCAAGCCTTGCCTATGCCTATATATCGGTGTATGTCAGGTTTGGATCCTAAACAATCAACTTCGCTAGCAACCAGGAACGAAGGCTGAGACTGAAGCCTAAAGGCAGAGCAAAAACATGGAGCCCGGAATCTGAAACTGCAAATCACAGAATCCTCGCTCCCCCGTACATCGTAAACTTGGTAAACCCAAGAAACCCAGTATCCCCTATAAACCCTTGACACTGTACAATGCCTAGAAGCCCTTCAATGCTCAACCTGAAGCTGAAATCACCGTACAACCACGACGATCGAACCGAACCAGTCCACAAGCGAGCGATCCCCAACCCCGAAATCCCCAAAACCCAGAAAATCCAAGCAACGCAAGAAGATGCAAACATCCGCCAAACCCCAACCTGGCTCTTTGTGGCCCCAAAACCCTCGGAGCCCGAGAGAGAAAAACTAGGAGCCAGAGTAAGCCCTTATTCCATTTTTCAGGGTTTCGGGTTCCCTTATAACCCCCCTTGAAACCAACAAAGGGCGCCCTTCTTATTCCTAGGTTACTCTTACCTTAAACTACCAAACCCTACTTTTTTGTAGGTTCTTATTATACACCCCAATATGGAAAATAGAGGGACCCTACAAAAAAGTAGGTTTTGGGAGGTTAAGGTAGGTCTAGAAAGGCCTTTCGGGGCGGCGAAGAGCCCCGCAGCGCCGCGGCCGAAGCCCTGGGCGGCTCGGCCCCCGCAGGTGGCTTTGGTGCTTTCTTCGGCTATTTAGTAGAGGGATTATAACTATTCAACTATTCGTATCTTAAGGAATATACCTTTAATTATGTTTCTCCTGGGTTTGGAGTACCATACTTGAATACTTTTTTGGTACCTGTTCCTTAAAGGAACCATTGTGAAATAAAAGTCTATACTTTTTTCTCCCTGGCTATTTTAAAGTCCAGTTCTGTATACCTCGTATCTCACTAAGAAGGTTACTGCTCCTTACACCCTATGTCATGTAACCCAAATCCACAGCTGATGTAGGTTAATGTGGCTCCAGTTACCTACACAGTAGGTTACCGGGCTATACCATATATAGTTAGTAACCTACCATTTAGGTAACTGGACCTTTGGGGTAGGTTACTGGGCTCCCTAAACCCTAAACCCCTAAACCCCTAAACCCCTAACCCCTAACCCCTAAGCCCCTAAACCCCTGTTCCCTAAACCCTAAACCCCCAAACCCCTAAACCCCAAACCCCTAAACCCCTAAACCCTAAACTCCTAACCCCTAAACCCTAAGTTACTGGGCTGGAGGGACTCGCAGGCGCAAGCGCGACGCGAGGATCGGCCTGGCTGGCAGCTCTTCCTTTGTAGCGCCTGTGTCGGACCGGGGGCACCCACAGCTCTACCGGAGGGTTTAGGGGTTTAGGGTTTTAGGGTTTAGTGTGAGATTTAGGGTTTTAGGGTTTAGGGGTTTAGGGTTGAGGGGTTTAGGGGTTTAGGGGTTAGGCGTTTAGGGTTTAGGGGTTTAGGGTTTAGGATTTAGGGGTGCAGGGAGTTTCCGAAAATAGGGGTACCGTATGTTGGGGTCCTTATAATGAGGATCCTACGATTTAGGGCCTCTAGGGTACTGTATTAGGGTCCCCTATTTTCGGAAACTCCTGTATGAAGTAGAATGGGGTTCCTTTCCAGAGATCTATAAGAGCTACTATAAGGGATCCATACTACGGATTCTATTTTAACAGAGGAGGGGCCTTAGCAATTAGCTAAGGGTTCTTTTAAGGGTTCCTTTGGAAGGGTCTATAAGGATTACTTTAAGGGGGTTTAGACTATTTTGCTTCCATATTGTACTCGAAATTACAGAACAACATACACCAAAATCCGAGTCTGATTAGTAAGGCCCCTACAGCAAAGCTCTAGATCCCAAGCCCGGGCTTCGGAGTACAGGTGCCGGCTATTTCGAGGCTTCGGGTATGGTTTAGGTTGCTGATATGGGAGTTTCCGAAAATAGGGGATCCTAATATAGTAGGAACCTTATTATAAGGACCCCAAAATACGGTACCCCTAATTTTCGGAAACTCCCATATTGCCTTAGGTTATTGATCGGTTTTGTGGGGCTTCTGGTTTCATGTTTTCGGGGGGGTTTGGGAGGCCGGGGCTGTAAACACCAGGGTCTGGTCTGGTAGGTTTTTTACTCAGGCATCTAAGGACTCATATATGGAGGCTCTTGGGCCCCAAGACCATACTATATAAGGCTTTTGGGCTATTTTGGGGCCCAGAGGTTGAGGTGCGGCTCGGACCTCAGACCTACATTGTAGACGAAGTGGGGAGTTTCGGGAAGAAAGGGAGTCCGAGATTTCTTGGGTGCTTGATCTTGCCTGCCTGACCGGATGGTAATCTTAGGGCGGGTGAGGGGGGAGTGAGGTAGGGGACTCTGCTTCCTTCAATGGGCTTCATAACTTTTAGCATACACCGCAAGTCAGCATGGAATTCCTGTGGTCCAATTCTTTCGCCAACTTTGGTACTGAGGCGTGCCAGACCCTATAGTTTCAAGCCTGCGAAAAGCCCCCTGATGTCCCGATGAACATGCGCCGCATTTCGGAGCTTTCGCACCCAATCCAAGTCGGCTTTTGCCAGGTGGTTTCTCTTACCTGATCCATGACCACCCACGATGCATGCTCGCTGTTGGGAGATCGTAAGCACAAAAACTGCACGTGGCGTGGAAGCTTTGCAAAATGGATGGGGTCGGAGCGGAAGTTTTCATTTATTGGGCTTGGATGCTCAGAACACTCCAACATCCTAAAACCCAAAACCTAAACCCTAAACCCTTAAACCCTAAGCCCTACACCCGAAACGCCCTAGACCCTTAACCCTAAAACCCTCAAACCCCTTTTCCCAAAAACCCTTAAACCCCTAAACGCTGAAATAAACCCCTAAACCCTTTAATAAACCCTATAAGCCCTTACACCCTAGAACCTAAAGAAACCCTGAACCCTTACACCCTAAAACCTAAATAAAGAAACCCTGAACCCTTACACCCTAAAACCTAAGGAACATCCCTGCAGTTTCCAAGCGCCGCGTTTCATGGAGCCCTCGCTTTGCAGGACTCGCCTTGGCACCGGCAGTGAGAGCCGCCGACCTCGTGAATGGTGAGGCTCCTTATTAGTACTCTTATTATTATTGCTATTACTACTAACAAGAATATTGTTATGAAGCCATTAAGGGCCGAGCTCCGAAGCAGTCTACCCAAAGCGACACTACGCCGTAAACTTGCACACCCCAACGGACGAGACTCTTGCCCTACAACGACACTCCAAGCCGCAGACCTAAACCCGAAAGCCTGAAGCGAAACAAGCCAGAACTTCCGCCAGGCCGTGTTTGATGCGAGCCATTGTCAGCAAAGAGTTCGAGAGTGAAGAGTCTGGAGTTTGGAGTTTCATGGTTTGGGGTTTGGGTTTAAGGTACAGGGGTTTAGTCTTTGGGGTTTTGCAGGGTTTAGGGCTCGTAGGGTTTGGGGTTTCGATGCCGTGCCATCCTGAACAGATTTGGGGTTTGTGAGGGCTTAGGGTTTAGGGTTTGTTGGTGAGGGTTTAGGGTTGAGAGTTTATGGTTGGTGAGGGTTTAGCGTTTAGGGGTGGTGAGGGTTCAGGCTCAGTGTTGTGTGACCCTCGGGGTATTCCTCACAAGAAGCGGTATGCTGTTGGGAACTTTAGAGCACGGCACTACCAACCCTACCTGGAAATCCCAAACTCAGCAATTTAAAAGGCTATACCCTAAAGTCGAGGAGTCCAGAAACTGGAGCTATTGTTCTGTAGGGTTTGGAGCTCAAATCAACCCCAAGCCCTAACCCTCCTTGCAGGCCACTCCATTAAACCCAAAGCCACCATAAACCCTAAACCCTAAACCCCAAAGCTTTAATCCCAAAACAAGGAACTGCGTCTCCTGCCACGCCGGCGGGGGCAATAAGATCTACCCGTGACTCGGCGTTTACCCCCAATTTTCGGAAGCCCTAAACCCTGAACCTTTGTAGAACCCATATATAGATCCGTTTTAAGGAACCTTAGTAGGATCCTTGTGATACGGACGCCCGTCCAGTTTCAAACGGGCTGCCATGGAGATCTGTAAAGCCAACGATTATACGGATTGTCGTTCCGTGGCAATGGTCTTTTTTCAATACCTGGACCCCAAAAGTAGGTCGAAGAATGGTGCTGTTGTGGGGGCTCCTTATTATAAGTATAGTATAATGGGCCCCAAAACCCTATTCTAATTATAAAGGCTCCATGATTCATGTATTTTCGGGGCACGTGAGGTTGTGGACAACTCAGTACAAGAGCATGTGTCTCCAGCGCAATGTTGTGACAGTCGGTTTGCCGATTTGTTCTTGGTAATTGCTCGTCGTGAGGAAGCTCATACATACCTGGGCTCGCCCTGATCAGGTAGGGAGGAGGTTAATGTAGGGACCTGATTATAAGAAACTCTGGTCCCATACCGCAAAATAGTAGGGTTCATGTAAGGAGCCCTCATAGAGGCCCAAGTTATTTTCTTAATCTGGTACCTACATTAGGTCCCGGACTCCGGTGTGCTTTGTTGTTTCCGATATGTTTCGGCAAGTCTTTTTCCCGAGGCTTCAGACCCTTTCGCGCAGCGCGCTGGAGAGGCGCGCAGCGCATCTTCAGAGCTCGGGGTGCGCGGGCCGAAGAGAAGCAGTAAATGAGGAAGCAGTCGTCGCTATATGCAGCAATGCCGTAGCCATGGTACTAAACCCTGAACCTATTGCATAAACTAACTTGCAGGCTTTGGCGCAAGAAGCTAGACCATACCTCGGCCCCAAGCCTGGCCAGGAATGGGAAGTACTCGGTGGAGCTGATCGCCCAGCAGGCAGAAGAATAAGTTGGGAGTTCTGTGCGCTGGTTGGGCTGCAGGCTTTGGGCTGTGGAGTGTGGGGATTCGGGTTCAAGCCGGCAGCCGAAGGAACAGGGCCTTAACCAGGTCAGCAATGGGCAGACACCAATGCCAGCCTTCAGCGACAAGCTTACCGTGCTTTGCCTGCATGGGGCTTCTAGGTCGTAGAAGGTTCACGTCCCGAACCCTAAACCCTTAAACCCTAAGCCCCAACCCCTGAACCTGGGTTCAGGTCCCGGGTTCGGGGTTGATTCTTCAAATAGTCGATGGAAGCCAGGTCTAGGACCTGCAATTCGGTCTCTGGGTTTCCATGGACGCTATAAACCTTAAACCCTAACTGCTAAACCCCATCAACCCTAAACTCTATAAGCCCTAAACCCGCCCTACACCTTCAAACCGTATGGGACCGGTGCTTCCGTGAGTTGCAGGGAGTTTTGCTCCAACCTTCAGGAGCGGAGAAGAAGTGGTAATATAGATGCCTCAGCAATTACCTATATACTATTGTGGTGGCTCCTTATAGATACAGTAGCATGGGCCCAAAACCCTATTCGCTAATTATTGAGGCCCCTGTAGTAATGATATTTGCTTGTTGTTGCAGCTGTATACCTCGAAGCCCTTTGCTATTATCGGAGACCGTATGACCTCATACAGTCCTACTCTGCCCACCAACAGAACGTTTGGGGTCAGAGCACCAACCAGCCAATAGGTCACGGAAGACAGGCTACCCGTTGCCCAGCACCTAAGATAGGGTTTAGGATGCAGGGTTTCGGGTTTAAGGGACTTAGGGTTAAGGCTCTAAGGCCAGGATGGACACTAAACCGTGGATATCGGCTTCTAAGGAGAAGAGCATAGAAGATGTTGCCAGCTTCGTCTACGCTGAGGCGCAGATCATGAAAGCCCGAAGCGGGAAGCCGATATTGGTCTAAAAACCCTACAATCCTACACGCCACCACCATGATCTGAACCCTGTAGACACTGTAGCCCTACAAGCCCACACTATTCAAACCCTATAAACCCGATAAACCAACCTTCCTTTCCTAAACCGCATAAACCCTACACTCTCTAAGATGTAGGGCTCGCTTGAAGCAGCTTGGGTGTTCTCTCGGCTTCTCCGCGGCTTGGGGTTTCTTTACTGGAGTTTGGGGGGCAGGGCGGTTGTGATTTCACATGAAAAGGCTGTAAGGTACTTGTAAAGCCCGCTGAAAGTCGTCTGTAGTTGGATCTCCACAACAAGGCAGGTTTTGGGGAATACAGGCAGAGGGTTTTGTGTAGATCGAGGGTCCCGAGGGTTCCAGTTGCAAGACCCCACATCTGCGACCCAGGCGGAGGTGAATTGGAAGGACAAAAAGCAATCCGGACGCAACTTTAGGGCTTTAGGGTTTTACTGGCGGTGCGAAGCCTCACCGCAGGTTCCCCCCACTTCCAGACTCAGTTTGCAATCAGTCCGAGGGTTCAGGGTATCCCCTCAGTCTGTTGCACTGACCGAGGTCATTAGTAGCGTTCTAACCCGTGGTCTTATCTAAAAAACCCTGAAGCCCTACTCCTTGACACCAAAAGAGCCAAAAGCCCTGCTGAAGCCCAAGAGCCCAGACACCATATGGACCATATGTCAACAAGTGCTAGACTACGGTCCCCCAAGCTTTCGACAGCCTAAAACCACCCTAAACCCTCAGCCCTAAACCCAAAACCTAGAAGCCGAGATCTGGTGCAAGTTGTGGGCAAGTGGGGCATCGAAAGTCCGTGTCGTAGGTTCAACCATAACACCAAATCTTCAAACAACTGTAGACCCCTATGTTTCAATAGGGTTTAGGGGTTTACAGAGGCCTGAATACTTACCGATACTATTTTGTGGGCTCCTCATTATAGTTACGTACAGCGGCCCCACAACCCCCGCAACCCCAATACAAATTGATCAAGGCCCCTGCATCAGACCTAAATCCGAAGATGCCCTACTTGGAGGATCATGGGACTTAGTAAGTAAGGTTATAAGTACCTTAATTGGGTTTATAAGTATAGTTACCCTAATTATAACCCTAGTTACTAAGTCCCATGATCCTTTAAGTAAACCCTGAACCACCTGCAAGGCCCAGCTCCACCTCGAATACCCTAATTACCTTGATTGGGCTCCTTCTTATGAGTTCTTTATATACGTCCTTAAATAGGTATAGGTTATTTAAAATAACCTATACCTATTTAAGGACGTATATAAAGAGTTATTTACTGTCCAAAACCCAAAACCTTAAACTCTAAATCCTAAACCTTTAACCCTAATCCGTTTTAGGGTCTTTGCTGAGGCTTGTCGGCGGCTCGGCAAGACGGTTCAGCCAATTCTTGGACTCTCTCTGGCCATTCCAGTAGGGCCGTGAGGAAAAAGGAGCAGAGTGCTTTAGGGCGTACAGTTTGGGTTTTGTTGGGCTTAGCCAGGACCCCGAAATGACCCTTCAATAGCATGGAGCACTCACACTAAGCTGAACCCCTCAACCCTTAAATTGAACAGGGGTCAGACTTCACATATTCTTAGAGTAATAGAATTCTTCAGAATGATTCTTCGCCATGCTTCACAGCGATAAACCCGTGGCCTACTTGATACTTTGCCACTCCGCTTCTAGCGCCCGCAGGCTTATACTGTATTATGATCCAAAGGGTCCAAAGTACCTATATAGTCGAATGTAGATCTTCTATATTAGGAATCTTATCGGTTATTTCAAGGGGGGGAAGAGGAGGGACCCTTAATGGCCCCTACCCTATAATGGGCTATATTATTATTATGATTTGGAAAATGTCCGCCATATCAGTACCTAGGACCGTTTAGGGGACCAAGGCCCTGAGCCCCATCCTAAAGCCTTCTTGGAGAATCATGGGACTTAGTAAGTAAGGTTATAAGTACCTTAATTGGGGTTATAAGTATAGTTACCCTAATTATAAACCTAGTTACTAAGTCCCATGATCCTTTAAGTAAACCCTCGTCTCAATCCGCGCAAGTTTCACCCTGAGCCGGAAACCTGTAGGCCCAGTAAACCAGAAAACCTCCAGACACCCTTCACCCCCTATGAACCTTTGTACCTTAACCTCCCAAAACCTACTTCTTTTGTAGGGTCCCTATAGTTTCCATATTAGGGTTGATAATAAGAACCTACAACAAGGTAGGGTTTGGTAGTTTAAGGTATAGCTTTCATCAACACCCTGAGCCACAACTTTACACCCAGAGCTCTGTCTCCGAGCAAAAAACGGATGTGAACATGGGTTTGCCTTAGGCCGTTTGTCCTTTCAACTCATAAGGCTTCAGCTGTTGAATATTCATATCCCCCACCCAATCCCCAACAACTGAGTTCTCAACATCCCTTTCATATTTATGGTATCATGGGCCCCAAACCCTATTCTAATTATTAAGGGCCCTACATCATATAGTACCCTTGTTGATCCATTATAGCAACCCTTAGAGACCCTGCGCCCAAATCCGAAGGCCACTTCAACCTTGAACGTTACATATCATAATCCCTTAACCGTACAATATACCGTGAAGCCTCAACCCAAAAAATCCGGGAGCCCCAGTTATCCCCTAAAATTCTTGAAGGCTACCCAGAGTAACCAATCAACCTTCAGAATGGGGATATGGCCCCCCAAAAGAAATTGGGTGGTAATTCCCTTGGTTGCTCTAGGCAAATCTTAAACCCTAAACCCCAAAACTCCATAGACTCTCAGGCAGACGGAAAATAGGCCCCTAAAACAAAAAACACCCGCAAGACTCCGGGTGCACCGGCCAGTACCCCGCATCGGGGAGCTGCTTTGGGGGGGCTGCGCCGAGCTCTCCGCCCTCCGGATCTGCAAAAGCTGGAGGTTTAGGTTAGGGACCCAAAAAGCACATAAGCTTAAGCATTTTACGGGGATATCCCTACCTTATAGGCCTTCCTTCTAAAGGGGGTTTATATGTGATATCCCTGTCCTAATTTTTGCTTATGTGCTTTTTGGGGCCCTATTAGGTGCTTAAGAGTTTGGGAGGCTACGGTGAGGGGAGGTTGGGGTTTTTTTGGGAGTACCTGATAGGGTTCTAAATCTGAACCCAAAAAGGAACTACTTTAGGGCCTGAGGTTAGGGGTTTAAGGTAGGAGTTTGGAGCTTAGGAGTTCACCGCTTTTCAGCTTTTGGGTGTGTGTTAGATGGGGGATCTGCAAAGCTAGGTGAAGCTGTTTTGGGATATCCTTTCAGTTCCGGATTTAGGGCAAACCTCGTTCATAAGCTTTCAGGAAAATCAGCTTACTCTCGGTCGGTCGAAATCTGCAAGTACGGCAAGGGGAAAGCTAGATGCTAGCTGCTAGACGCGAGCCCAAGTGTGGACAAAGCCCGGTTTTCTTTCCTGCACGAGTCTCATAGTAGTCTCATGATCTCTTCGATATTGCCCAGCTGGTCCATGTCATGTAGTTTATGTCTGGGCCCTAACGGGGGGAGTCCTCATAAGCCCCTGTCAACGCCGTCTTAAATCCGTCTGTAACCTTCCAAAGTCAACATAAAGCCGCCATCATACGAAACGAGTATAATCCAAAGCCCTTTCGCACAAAAACCCGTAGAAGCAGCCTTTCATTAGCCGGTTTTGTTTGAGGTTCTGGAGGGGGAGCAGGACTTCTTCCCTCGCCGGAACTTCGGGGCGGTGTGCCTCCCCCCAGGCCACCGTTTCTCTCGCAGTCGGATTTAGGGTTTAGGCTGTGGGGCTTTAGGGGTTTAGGGTTTAGGGCTTTAGGATTTAGGGTTTAGGGTTTTAGGGTTTAGGGTGCTCTAGGGCTTTAAGTTTAGGGCTTTAGGATTACGGTTGAGGGTTTCAGTGATTCAGATATGTGCATGAGGGCTTCAGGGTTAGAGCCGTAATGCTGAGTACAATGTGTGGCGGTACACTGTGCTTTGTTGACGATAAGGACCCCCAGAGGATCGTAGAACATAGTTAGTTAAGCTCAGAAAAGGATGCTGAGACTCATAGTGCAAGGTGCCCCTAAGCCCTTTTCTTGCTTTTAAGGCCGCTGTACTAGGGTAGGGTCTGGCCATGTGGCTGTTTTGTACCGTTGAGGGCTCCGAGTCTTAAGTCTTATGGCGGCCCAAATGGGTGGTTGTCAAAATTATGGTCCCTTTTTGGGTACCCTAAATAATAGGTGCCGTATTATATTAGGGACCCCAAAAGGGACCCTAATTTTGACAACCACCCAAATGGAGGAGCTTGGCCGGCGCTTTTTTGGGTATCGGGTTTGGAGATTCGACTTGTTCGTTGCTTCAGAGCCGTTTTCCAAAGAGGATGGGGGAGCGTGGCCTGTGTTGTCACTTTTGCTTAGGGATTCGTTATGGGCCCTGCATGAAAGCCCCAACCAAATGCTGACAAGCAACTTACGCCCGACCCACAGCCACAGCCCTGCACCCGCAACCTCTATTCCATTGATCTGTCAATGGCCCACGGATTGAGAAGTGAAGCTGTAAAAGTCTTAACACCAAACCCAGTCAGCCCCGACCTGCTTTACTTATTCAACCCCGAACGGCAGAGACGTCAGAACTGTCCTGTGGAAGGCTTAGATATGCATCCGCACATTGACATACAACCCCCCCTTCCACAACACGCCAGGACTCTTCTATTAGAAGCTCTCCATTATGGACCCCGGGCCACGGAAACCTGAAACCCTGATCTCAAGACACCATCAAAAAATACTGATTATCATCTATGTTATTAAAACCATCATTATGTAAAATTTTAAATTACTCATTACTGAGCCTTATAAGACTCTTAAAGAGGCCCTATGCGACCCGGAATCCGAAAGCCTGCGATCTTCCAGGAGCCAAAGGCACCCTCAAGGGTGGTCCACCACCGATACTCTTTCTTGGTGGGGAGAGCCAAGGCGCGAAGCCTGAAGATGTGGGAGTTTCCGAAAATTAGGGGTACCTTGGGGGTCCTTATAATAAGGATCCTACTATGTAGGGTACTCTGTTTGGGTCCCCTAACTTGAGGATGTGGGTATTTATGTTTATTAAAGGGTTGTATGCATAGGGAGGACTTCACTCACCGACTTTGGGGCGTCTAGAGTTCGAGAGTTCCGAGTGTTGGGTGTCCGAACAGGCAGGAGCCTCCCGAAGCCCTGTCGTTTAGGAACATACCTCGAATCACACTCGAGATTATGCTGCAAGGTTTTTGAAAAAGGTGTTTTGGAATCTCTGGGCGCTCGGCACTGAATCTTGAAAGCTCTGAAGAGCTCTAGTTGTGACTGTGCCTCACAGCTATACTTGAGTAGTGTAGACCCCACACTATGCAATATAGAAGCCTCAACAACTACCTACGTTACTGTTAGGGCTCCGACCAGTTGCCATTTTCAACCGGCCGGCGCTCGAGCTGTGTCACCATATGTTCGGTTACGTTTTCACCCAGGGCGTCATGCACTTGCCGAGACCATGACACAAGCCAGATCCCAAATCCGCACACGACTCAAACCCGTAACCCTGCACTAGCCATGCCTCCATCCATGGAAATACGAGCCCTTGCGGCAGAGGTGTCGTGGAAGCTGGCTGCATCCAAGGTCACCCATCCGGTATATCAGAAGGTGCCGCATGGATACCGCATTCTGCGGCGAGACCCGGGGCCAGCAAGTCCTGACACTGCCTTTGACAGCGCATGTGACGTCTTTCCACCAGAAGTGATACTGGACAGATTCTGGATGTTGGAGAGATGTTGCCGCTGCCAAACAATCGTGGCACAGCTTCTTCGGGTCTGCCAAAAGACAGCTGAGTGCGGAATCCTCCTGGTCCACGACGGTGTCTTTGTCATAGTTGGGTCACATTTTACATTTTAATGGGTGCTTAAACCCAATAAGGAATAAAATGTAGATTTTTAATCCTATCCCAACCATAGGTGTGCCAGTGAGGAACTTCTTTGCTGTCAACGGCGTTTTCGATTGTAGTCCACTCGAAGAGGCCGAGTTGCTAAGACCCTGCTTATCTTAGCCCAGCCCACCTACAGCAGTATTGACAGCATCAGCATGACCACGTGGTGCAATCGTTTCAGCATTGCTCAAGCGTAGTTTGATGTTCCAATCCCGGGCATTTAAGCATGGGCCAAAGGCACCTTAGTCTAATCGTTCAGGCCTCTGTGTCTTGAAGTGTGTTTGAGCAGGTGCACCTGTCGTGCGCAGATCCGGACACGCAAGAGCTCTTCACGACCAGCATGTATAATACCGCTACATCACAAGAAGCTGTAGCCTCGATGCCGCTTAAAGTACAGCAGTTGCTGGGCATCGCCGCGGGCATGCCAGCGGCTGAGTTGGAGCGCTTTCGACATTTAGCAGAGCACTTGAGCATTCCAATCGATGGTCCCGCATTGGTGGTGTTGTTTCGTCTTGGACAACAAACGAATGTCATAGGAGGCCAAAAGGGGTTTTAGCCTATGGGGGTTTAGTAGGGATTAGGGTTCCCATAGTAGCGTTCATGTTAAAGAATCCCTACCTCAAGAATCTTAAACCCCCCTTTTGGCCTCCCATCAGAATGATCCACGTAGACCTTTGCGGCTCGGCTTATGGTCTTCGCACCTACGGCGAGGTTGTGAGTTGTCGTCAGCGTGCCCCTGTTTACTCAATAGAGACGGAAGCAACAAGCTTGTTGCCAAGCCCTTTGGAGCACAAGTTGCAGTTGAGTCGAATGGTGGACGAGCCATTCAACAGCGAAGAGGGGCAGCGCATTGCACGATTTCCTGTTGAGTTTCTGCCTTTCAGCAACGAGAAGCTGAATCCGGAGGTCACTGCCACCGACGAGATGTTGCGGAGGCATATCCAGTTTTTGATGCATGACAAACCCGTGCTGGACTCGCTTGTGGATAGCATCTTTCTCATCGTTGCCGAGCAGGACATCAAGGCTAAGCGGCACTCTCCTTCTGCAGTCAGGCTGCTCACCCGGCAATTGTCAGAGACCATTGCGGTGTGCAGTGACATCACGATGCCAGTGTTAGTGATAGCGTCAGTTCTTTAGGCACTGTCGTTATCACAACCGCATTACCACTCTTTGCTGCTGTCGTTGTTTTCTCGAACATCAGGAAGTAAGATCCGGAGCTGCTAGCTGCTCGAAGAGGCTAGTGATCAGCTCAATCCACACTCACCATCAGCCCTCGACCTGTTTGATATACGGTCCCTAAACCAAACATTACATTCGGGGCCTTAGAGCTTTGAATGGCAAATGCAGTTTGAGACTCAAACGCCGCGCGCGCTGCAGCGGAACATCTTACGAAGCCTCAAACTTCACCTGCGAGTCTTCAAACTCCAGCATCCGATTCTGGACTTGCTTTTTGGGGGTGGGGGGGGGGGGGGGCGGGCAGAATGATGACGACATTGCTACGCCGACACACCGAACAACATCTCCGGAAGAGCCATTTTACTGAGTACTTGCAGTACTTTCGTGACGTCAGCCATCTTATATAGTCGCCAAGCCTACCTCTGGACTTTGATACGTTGTCTTTTGCCTTTGCGAGGGCTTTCAGCGAAAACTCGAAATTGGATGGTCATAACTGTTCGAGACTGAGTGCCTGTACGTTATCAGCCCCCCACCCCCTTTGCTACGTTGTCTTTTGCCTTTGCGAGGGCTTTCAGCGAAAACTCGAAATTGGGTGGTCATAACTGTTCGAGGCTGCCTGTACGTTATCAGCCCCACCCCACCCCCCCAGCCCCCAAAGCAACGTATGCAAAAGGGGTAGTTGGTCGGGGGGGGGCCGCCTACTGCTACTACTACTACTACTACTATCACTACCGCTAATAGTAGTAGTAGTAGTAGTAGTAGTAGTAGTAGTAGTACTACTACTACTACTACTACTTCCCGTTTTGCGTGTATTTGACGCCATGCTTTTCCTGCTTTTGGGACATCTGCGACTTGGTTTCAGGGCCTAGATATACTGGTATTTACAGCATTTCCGTGGTTATTCGTTTTTATCTCTTTAAAGAAGGACCATGCAGACCCGAGCGCCAGAACGACCTAAAATACAGTCATCATCATCATCATACTCATCAACATCATCATACTCAGGGCCTAGATATACTGGTATTTACAGCATTTCCGTGGTTATTCGTTTTTATCTCTTTAAAGAAGGACCATGCAGACCCGAGCGCCAGAACGACCTAAAATACAGTCATCATCATCATCATCATACTCATCAACATCATCTTACTCATCAACATCATCATTGACCTGGGGGGGGGGGGTGGGGGGGGGCTAATCGCGAGCATGTTTGACATCATCATCATAACAGTAACATTCAAAACCGTCAAATTCATTGTCGCCATCAACATCATCATCACGGTGATAGACAATATCATCATACTCATCAACATCATCATACTCAGGGCCTAGATATACTGGTATTTACAGCATTTCCGTGGTTATTCGTTTTTATCTCTTTAAAGAAGGACCATGCAGACCCGAGCGCCAGAACGACCTAAAATACAGTCATCATCATCATCATACTCATCAACATCATCTTACTCATCAACATCATCATTGACCTGGGGGGGGGGGGGGGGGGGGGGGCTAATCGCGAGCATGTTTGACATCATCATGGCATGACTTTCACTTGAGCCGATAAAACCCACGATCCAGGGCGCTCGGCTCACAACGACATGCGCATGCGGAAATGACGTCCCTGCCGTGTGTTTCGGACATGCATGCACCAAAAAACACAGCGTCAAATACACGCAAAGCGCGTGCTACTTCTACTACTTCTACTACTACCACTACTACCACTACTACTACTACTACTACTACCACCACCACTACTACTACTACTACTACCACCACCACTACTACCACTACTACTACTACTACTACTACTACTACTACTACTACTACTCCTCCTGCTACTGCTGCTACTGCTGCTGCTACTGCTACCGCTGCTGCTGGTACTGCTGACCACTACTACCTACTAACCGTGCGACCATTAGTATCACTGCTACCACTACGACCGTTGTTAGTATTTCGACGGCTACGGCCAAGACTACAACAGTTTTGTCGACGGCGACGACGACGGTTACTGCCACTGCTACTCCTACCCCTACCCGGACTCCTGCTCCTACGCCTACTACTGCTTCTTCTTCCAGTACGACTGCGAGTACTACTACGACGACGCCGGCAACCAACGCGACGACTACTACTTCGATTGCTGCTAAGACCACGATGACGGCTACTAATACCACGACGATATAGTCTTGCATGTGCGGCTCGCTTTTTTTGTCATCGCTTGAGTATTTTACTGTTTGAGGTTCGGCAATGTTGACCATCAGTGTGGTGGCGCTGGCTAGCACGACTGTATCCTGTGATGACTTCTGATGGTCGGCGGAGTTCAAGTGTCGTTGATGATATCAGCACTCGCCACGTCTCAATACAAGTGCTGTTGGTCTTGCTCATGTTTGTTGAATGTAGCAACATAGGTTATTGGCTGGAAAGATGTTTTGCGACTGGTGTATGGAGCATTGGCAGGTAAGGCCTACCGTAACGCGATGGCCCCCCTCGCCGTGGAAAATCTTCCTCCTATAATTGCACTTGAGCAGACTTACAGGCTGAGTGGCATCGAGAAACGACCAGCCCTGAATGGTTCTGCGGCAAGAGTTGTCATGGTCGTCGAAGACAGAGCCATGGTTGAATCAGACTGGAAGATACAGTGCATACAGGGTTTGCGAGTCTGGGTCAGTTCAGTTCTGTAGGAAGACTTCATGTCCTTGCAACTTTACAGTAGAAGCCAGAAAGTTGGAACATCAGTAGCCTCATGCCCTTAAAGCAAAGTATAGGGAATCCCCGCATGAATCATCCTAAATCCATGTTCCAACTTTCTGGGGTTCACTATAAGCCTTTAAGCGGGAGCTTGTACTGAGCGGGTCTCCTTGCGCCCATGCCTTCGGCACTTTCGGGGTTTCAGGGCCAAAGTGGCCGTGGGTCAGGCGAACACGGGTCGAAGCTTTCTCTGATATGGTCGCAGGACATAAATCACAAAAGTTTGAGGGCTTTGTTTCGCAAAGGGTTTCCACGATGTTGGCAAGACACTTGGACGGAACGGTAAATGAACTGCAGTACATCACGAATCGAGTTGGTTGTTGCATACATTGTTTGGGGTGCCGAGCAAATTGCCCCCGCATGGAATTTGGCACGGAGATTTCCCAACGACACCGACAGGTTCGTCGGGCAGAACTATTTAAGGCATCCTTTACTGAAGTACCCACCTACTTATTCACTTGAAGCTACCCCCTTCCGGGAAGCATTCCGAGGAGTTGCTGTTGCCCTCGAGACTGGAGAGAAGATCAAACTACTGCCGTCCAAGCTCAAGTTCGACAGCGGAACGGCCCGCCAGTGTCTGACATTGAAAGAGATGAAGCAGGAGCTTGATGATGCATGTCGAGAAAGCACTCCGCCAGCTCCCCTCAAAGCGGATGCCAAAGCAATGAACAGAATCAGGGCTTACTTCAGCAACGATGCCCACGGGCAGATCTTCTTCGCAAGGGTGATCCAGGCTGGGAACGTCGGACTGACCAACGTGACAGACCCAGAACTTCTGCCTGCATTTCGGACGGTCGTGCGCCTGCGGGTAGCTCAAGTCTTGATGGGGAGTCCGGCCCAGCATCGGGGTTCATGCTTCGGAAGTACAATTTTGAAGCTTTCTTTCTACATGAGGAACCCAAATTATGAATCAGATATCCCGCTCTGCAGGGTAACTTAAATTACGTTCCTCCATTGCAACAACTAGAACAGCCTCATATACATTTCTACATATGTATGTATGCATGTGCGTATGGAAGGATGGATGGATGGATGGATGGATGGATGGATGGATGTAAGTGTATATATGTATATATGTCTATATGTATATACGTATGTATACAGATAACGTAGTAATTAAATATGTGTATATATATATATATATATATATATATATAGCGAGATAGATAGATATGTATGTACATATGTATATACATACATATGTGCATGTTTATGCATACATATATATCTATATATATATATATATATATATATATATATATCCCATGAAGCTTTGGGAAATTTAGGCAGCGCCAGTGGGAGTCCATCTTGCGCCTAAGCGAGCGGAAGGAGTTTCCGGAATTCCGGCAACTGATATTGCACCCAGACTGATCTTGAACATTGCCTTTATGTGGTTAGTATTTTGGGGAGTATACAATCTATGACAATGGTCACTAGCTACTTGGGTTTAGGATTGCAATTGTGTTGGCAAGAATTCATCGTAGTGTCGGAGGAAATTGCAATTACGCAGTTGTGATTTTTTGAAGGGCCTCGAAGAACAGACCAGGACTTTGCGAGGAGGACTTGGCCCGGAAGAGTTTGTGAAACGCCTGGCAGAAAAGCCGGCTTTCGAGGAGATGTATGAGGTCGCTTGGTCCCAGGTAAGGGTTTAGGGTTTAGGCTAGGGTTTTAGGGTTCAGGGTTTAGGAGTTATAGGGTTTACGTTTTTGCTGTTTTTGAATTTGGCAGATACAGTGGGATCTAGGATTCAGGCTTTAGGGCTCACAGGTACCAAAAACGGATGTTGTCTGTGCTAGTGGTCATCCAGGTTTGCCTGGCTGAGAGCATCTTGAAGCCACGGGGAATACCGAAAGCAGGAGGATATGCGTAGCCGGACTCCCATCCATGGCCATTGGCTATTGCGGTTCCAAAGCACCGATGTACTGTACAGTTTGCATCAAAGGCACGTGAATACCGCCATTTTTGTTCGCTGAGTTGGACGAAGAAGATGGCTAGGTCGTGATACGACTTCCAGATGGCATCAAAAAGACAGATAACCGAAGGGTTGTGTTTGTTGAAAGAAATACTTGCTTGCGAGCAGCAGTGCAGAGCTGGCCTCGTCATCTGCGAAGCTGGCTTGTAAGCTAATTCGACAAAGGGCGGTTCTAGCTTATGGAAGGTTGGGAAGTTGGGATGTATAGTGTGGTGAATTCATATGTCGAGTGTCTGAGAGCTATTAGGACCTTGTTACTGTTGCAGGTCCTTACCGGTGGCGTTGTATTGTCGTGCAGGGATGAAAACAAGAATCGCCCATATGATCCGAAAGCTTTCGCAGTGGGCTTGAGGAAGATGTTTCAGCCTTTTGATACACAACGTACCACCTCCGGCCTTTTCCTGTCAGAATGCATGCACGAGAGCCTCATTATTGGGTCATGCCCGGGTCGTTTGACATTTCGCCTCAGCTAGTATGTGAGCTATATATACAAAAGAAAAATATAGCATACATAAGGGGTCTTTTCAAAAGCACCTATGCGTGTTTTGCGCGCGGTGAGGGCTAGTAATGGCAGAAATTAAACGCAATTCAATCCCATAGGGATGTGAGGATATTACCAGGATCTCTGCGGGTTTCTTGGTGAAGTCTTTGAGCACAAACTCCAAGTGACAATGACACATATCGAAGCAATGCGAACAGTCATCCTCTGTTCCTGGACGTGCTGGTTCTGGTCTGAGGGGCGCGTTGGAAACACTCGGTAAACATCACCCCAAACCCTAAACCCTAAACCGACAACACAAAACCATAAGCCCTACGCCCTAAACCCCGAGCCCAATGCCCCGAACCCTAAAGCTTAAAATTAAGCCCCTAAACCCCGAACCCTCTCGAGTTCAAAATGCAGGGCCCTGTGGTTTCCTCATTTGTTGGGCCTGGGAATCGGGGACTTCCAGAGCAAGAACTTTGTTTGAGACGATGTCAACCGTGCCGTTGGAGATGCCATGACAAGACGAGAAAGAGAGAGAGAGAGAGAGAGAGAGACAGACTGAGAGACTGAGAGACTGAGAGACTGAGAGACTGAGAGAAGAGAGAACTCGCCTACGGTGATGACTGGAACCAGAACTTGGTAGCACCAGGCCGCTTGAGCCCTGTTTACATTATAATCCGGACATTCCGCAGCTAACACTCTGCACTTCAAACGGCGGCTCGTGAAAATCGCACCCAGACTCCGTCGTTAGATATCAATTCTTTCGGGGGACCCGGAACATCAGGGAACGCCATGCCTGTAGCATAGCCTTCCGTGTAATGGAGCGGCCTAAATAAACTGCCAATACCATTTTGTGTTCCTCATAATTCGAGTAGTATATCTCCAAAAGTCTTGCTTTGAATATCATATTTAGGCCCCGGTATTATCCGTTGTGTGTGTGTGTGTGTGTGTGCGTGTGTGTGTGTGTGTGGGGGGGGTTGTCTCATCACAACCACCAAGGCCCTTCTTGGGGTGATTCTCCGAATTCGAATCCCTTTCAGGGTCCTTTTTTATGATGGTGCCATACTGTTTTGAGACTTAAAAGGGGACTCTTAACCCTAAGCCCTAAACTATCATCAAAAAGGGGCCCTAAACCCTAATTCCTAATTCTTAAATTAACTTAGAGAACTACTCTACTGCCCTGGGGATCCAAAAAGGAACCCTAAGCCTTAAACTACCTCAGAGAGCTACCCACATGCCTCGGCAGAGGCAGCCGACATTGCAACGATGTGTGGCGCCTTTCGCTGGTGTCCTTGCGCGCATGGCCGCTGGCCTTGCAGAAGGAGGTCGAAGGCTTAGGGCTTTAGGGTTTGGGGTCTCGCGGTTTAGGGTTTAGGGTTGAGGGCTTTAGGGTTGACACGCAGCAAGCTCGTGTGACAAATCCAGGGGTGCATTTTCCAATCTGGTTTGCAAGCAAGCGTGGACACGATAAAGCACCGGGACAGGAAGCCGGTGGGCGAGCATCATGAGCATCATTGGGGCCCAATCGGAGCCGGGGAGCGAGCATCAGGAGCATCATTGGGGACCCGCTTCCCCATTTAACGGCAGTCTGAAACACTACCTTTGAACACCACAAACGGACCAGGCTGCCCACCGGCTGCCGGTGGGGCCTGGCCGCTAAAAATACACAGGGTTGTCCTTCCCCGCGGCCCTTGCTGCAACCATGAACTGATCAGAAACTCAGCTAGTCCTGGAGGCTAGCTGTCGTGATTGAGTTCTGAATTCTGTTGCAAGTTTCGTAAGCTTGTAGGAGGTTAACTAGACAAGAATCGCAACGCCAATGTGGGACTCCTTTAATGTTGGGATGTTCAGGTTTTTGGTGCGTAGAATTTTAACTTCGCTGTTGGGCCGCATGTTTTGGAATCATATCCCTAAAACAGCTAAGCCCCTAAACCCTCAACCCCTAAACCTCTAAAACCCTAAACCTCTAAACCCTGAACGACTGAACCCCTAGCCCCTAAACCCCTAAACCCAGACCGTCGAACTGTCAGCCAGTGCCTCGAAAAAGACACTTTGAGTGTTTAGAGTTTAGGGTTTAGGGCTTCGGGTAATTATTGGGCTTAGGGCTTGGGGTTTAGGAGTTTCATGCTCTTCGGGGGGCCTGGCGACACCGCCTAGCCTTGGATTCAGCGTCTAACGCTTGAGGCCACACGAAGAATGGCTGACAATGTAACTGGTAAGCGTCGAAAGCGACAATGATTTCTAAACCCACTTTCACATAAGCTTGAACCTTTGCCAGCCCAAACCATTTATGCGGAATCTTCAGCCACGAAGCCTGGACCAGTAACCACGGAGGTGCAAGATTTGGAAAAGGGCGAAGGAATGATAGGAGGCACCCCATTTTACCTAAAGTCCCTACCCTGATCATTAAACTCAAAACCTTAAAAACTTATATACACGTCGCAAGGGTTAAGATGGGTTAGGAGGCTTATAGATTACAGGGTTCAGGATTTCACCCCATAGCCGGCAGCCAACCGACTCCAAGGCGCCGCGGCACTTGGCACGTCGTCTCGGCGCACGAAGAAGGCGGCCTTTTGATGGGAGCCTAAGAGGTGCAAGTTGCCTGGTTGGCGAAATCTCATACAAGCATCAAGAGATATGGAGGCTAACCCAGAGGGTCCGCATATACTACCATTATGGAATTAGGTCCCCAAAGACAATCCCCATCATGGTTTTGGGGACCTAATAGTAGGTATGTATGTATGTATGTATGTATATATATATATATATATGGATGGATGGACCCTCGGGATAAATATTCGAGTCCTGGTTTTACTGTATCATGCATGCTGCATCATGTAGTAAGGACCCGAACCACCCGATCCCTAGTCCTGCGGCACGCCTCTATACCGAAGCCTATGCCGTAAAGCAGACTGTGCTATCATTCCGTAGGGCGCCCTAGCAATTTCAGTATAATGTAATGTAGCGCCCAAAGCCGAATCGAATTATTCAAGCCCTATTATATACTGGTGAGCAGGTCATATACACCCTAAACCCCTATAAACCCCAACCCCATAAACCCTAAACCCTAAAGGTCTTCTCCCCCTGAAAAGTTCGATACTTGTTGATGTCCCTCAGCGCCCCTTTCCCCCGTTCAAGGCAGTCCGGACGGCTACGGACGCCGGGCTTCTCGCATGCCTTGTAAGATGCGAAGGCTTAGGGTTTAGGCTCTATGGGCTTTAGAGATTTAGGAATTTTCAGGAGTTTAGGGTTTAGCTGTATAGGGGTTTAGGGTTGAGGGATCTGGGAATTACAGCGTTCCGGTTTCAGAGTGAGTTAGTAGTTTCTGCCTTGGCATTCTGCGGTTCAGGGCGCATGGTGTGGAGCTTCGCTTCAGACGCATCCGCGCATTTAGTGGTTGCGGTTGTCGGATTTGTCGTTATAGCATCAGGCTTTCTGGATTTTTGAAGTGCAGGGTCTTGGTAGAACTTAAAGAGCCCAACTCAGCATGTTACTGTTTAAGTGTTTACGAGTTTCGGGAGTACACTCATCCTATACATTAAAACCGAATGAGTGCCCTGACCTCTATGTGTTCGTCTATGTGTTCGACCATCCCATCCCTCTGTCAAGTTCAGGGTTTGGGCGTAGGATGATCTGGGGGTCCGGGTGATCTACAGCGCTTGCGACCCCAACACCCTCCACGTAAAGCCTTCAAGCCAGAGCCAAGTATCCGGCTCCAATCTCCCGAGATGACGAGAATTCGGATGCTTAGGGAGTGCTGGGCCAGAAAGAGTCATCGGGTTCCCTAAATGACCTCAAACCCTATAAACCCTATACCTCATAAACCCTAAAGCGATCAAAGTACGTCGAGGCGGCTGCAATTCCGCAAAAGTCGGTAGACTAATAGGTAAGAATAGTTGCCCAAAACCTATAACGGGCTGTTATTCCACCTACTTGTGGGGTCCAGGTAGGGTTGAGGGCTGGGTGTTTCGCAGCGAAGGTTCATCGAAAGTGGCGTCCGAGAGCCAGCTTCGGATTGGCGTGCGCCGCTCGTCGATCTGACTCTGTGGAGGGCTCATTGGGGTTTAGGGTTTCGGGGTTCAGGGGTTTTGGGGGTTAGGGTTTAAGGTTTAGGGTTTAGGGTTAATTCTGGGTAGTTTACATGTAAATTTTAGGGTTTAGGCGGGGCTCAATGCACGGAGCCTGAAGCCATGCTCTTTTTGTAGGGTTTAGGGTCTGTGCAAAACCGGAATCCCCAACCTAACGCTGACGCCTTAAACATGGTCCGAATAATCTAATAGAGCCTATCATTCAAAATCGAATGCTCAAGTCCCATGAGCACGGCATGCAAGAACGAGCACTGACATCCAGTGGGAATCGCTCCATTCCTTCCCCTCGAGACTTTGTGGCTCCTTCCCATTAAGCAATCAGAGATGGGAGTTTCCGAACATAGGGACCCTAATATAGTACCCTAGGTAGTAGGATCCTTATTAGAAGCACCCCAAAACAAGGTACCCCCCTGTTTTCGGCAACTCCCGTATGGTTTCGGGCTATGTGTCGGGCACATATTGATAGCATAGGGCTCCTCGATTTTTGGAGGGGATAGCAGGGCAGGAGTTTTCATGGCCAGGGAAAGCCGCTGTCAAGCTGTTCTATGTTCTGCGTGCTTTATTCCTACTAGTAGGTTGCTGGGCATCCCAGTTCATGAACCCTGAGAAGAGGAACCCGATAAGGAACCCTTATAGGGATATAGGTGTTCATATAGTTTCCGCGATTTGGTTTGATTTTCCCTAGGTTTCTTGTGGTGGTGGTATGTATCACTCCAAAAGCTGGCCCCTGTGAGTTGGATAGCGGCCGAACTTGAGAAGCAGTAGGGGTTCTGGTCCATGATGAGGTGCGTCGGAAACTTTTGGTATTTGCAGGGTCCCTCATGTGCAGAGGCCTCTGGCCAATCAGGGTCGGCTGACAGTCACGCTAAGTCCTACGATCCGGGAGCCTCGAAAGCCACCCTCTTGCAGTAAATGGGTGGTTGTCAAAATAATGGTCCCGCTTTGGGTCCTTATTATGATACGTCACCTAATATTTAGGGTACCCAAAAAGAGACCATTAATTGACAACTACCCAAACGTTGAACGAATGAAATAGGCTCAGTTCCCCAAAACCCGAACCCGGCACCCCTGAAATTCCCCACCCCCAGAGCCTAAACCCCAAACATAAATCCCTATGCCCTGATCCCAACTCCTGAATATATAGCCTTAAAACCCCATGAGTTCTATATAAGTAACCCTTTAGAGGATGAAGCCTGCAGCGGAAGTCGGAAAGTTGGAACATCATGTCCTCCAACTCCAACCGAAGGAGAGAAGGAAGCCTAGCGCATGTCATCCTATTGTCGGCCGCACCTTAAGCTCTGAACCCCACCTCCATGTTCCAACCTTCCTGGCCCCACTCAGTGGGTGGGTTTGCGTGTCAAGGCCATTCAAAGTGTAGTGTATGGGAGGTAAACTCCTTCGTCTTTTCAGAGATCAGCGGGGTTCTACCTCGCGACCTCGCCTAAACCTAGAACCTATAAACCCAAAGCCCCAACTCCAAACCCTAATTCCTAAACCATCTCCGTTCCTTTGGGAATCTTCTTCATTCTCACTTAATCCGCCAGAGCAAGTAAGTATCCTTGAACATTCTTGGGCTATCATGGTCCCGGAATATGCCCAAAGTTTATCCTCGAGAACGGAAGCTGGACAAGTCTAGAATCCTTGTTGCAGTTTGTTGGAGCCCCTGGCCTCCAGGCGCCGGCGCGCGGCGGGTACCTGCAACTCAACGGCATCAGAAGTGTCTAGCATTCCAGCGCGAAGGTCCAAAAACAGAGAGGTTTGAGTGCATTGGCTCCAGGATACCTCCGGTATCCCTTTGGTTCAAAGGCCACTTCTAGAGCAGGAGCTGTCGGGGCAAAGACTCCGCGAGGACAGCACCTGCCTTATGCTTCAAGCTGAAGTGTTGGCCCATGGTTGCAAGTAGTTCATCTACATTAACCAGAGGTTCCACGATTTACACGCTGTCGGAGGCAGTGGAGTTGCACGAGTCCGTTCCTCCGGAGCGCTGGTGCATCACTCGCGCGGACTTGAAGCACTTGCGCCAGGAGGTGCAACAAGCAATCCAGAAAGGCGAGATTCGGCCACCAGATGACGGCAAAGACGATTTCGAGACCTCTGACAAGGTCTTCGGGCCTAGCGTCTACACGGTCAACACGCAACATATCATGCCTGTGACAGACCGTGTGGGCAAGGTGAGCTGGGCATTAATGATGCACCCGGAAGGGTTGGAGTGTCAGCTCTTCATCAGCCACGCCTGGCAGGAAGGTATCTTCGAGTTCATTTCCAAGGTTCTGCATTCCTGGCCGTCGACCGCACTGCACGCCTGGTGCTGCATGCTGGCCAACCCTCAGAACCTGAACATCGCGGCCTTGCTTGAAGCTCCAAGCAGCTCGCCTTTTGCCTTGGCTTTGCAGGCCTCGTCCTGCGTCCTTGTCGTACCCAATCGGCATTGCAGCATCTACACCAGGCCCATGGAGAGAGGGACACAAAGCTAGGTGGAGCCAGCAGTCTGCCTTTCCCCATCCCTGAAAAATCCAGGTTGTGGTGTGTGTACGAAGCCTACCGTGCCCATGAGGAGGGCAAGACCATCGTCATCGCACGCGCGTCGAACAGATCCTCCACCTAAACCCTAAACCCCGTATAAGCCCCCAGAAGACACATGAAAATTGGCCATGTGCTTAGATTCTCTGCAGCTTCTGTTAGGGTTTAGGAGTTTCGGGTTTGGGACTTTTGGGTCTCCTCAGTTTTGTGTCAACCCTGTCATCGTTTATGAGGGGAGTTCGGGGGTCTAGGAGCCCCATTCGGAAACTCGACGGCTTTAATTTTAAGTTACGAAGGTGCTAAGCCGTAAAATCGCTTTCTTTGATTGGGTGCTCTCCGAGGACGACAGCTTTGCCGAAGCCTGGTGATGACGGCCGTGCTAGGATTGGGCTCAGGGGCCGAAACTAGGGCCCCAAAAAAGCACATAAGCAAACATTTAGCATAGGGATGTCCCATATAAACCCCCGTTAAAAGGAAGCCCATAAGGTAGGGATATCCCGACAAAATGCTCTTGCTTATGTGCTTTTGGGGGTCCCTAGAAACCCTAATTTACCAAATGCCCGCGAAGATTATGAGGATCTAGATCCAAGCCTTGACACATGGGTGGTTGTCAAAATTAGGGCCCCTTTTGAGGTACCCTAAATATTAGGTGCCGTATTATAATCAGGACCCAAAACGGGACCCCAATATTGACAACCACCCACTTAATATCCAGATCCTGAAGTGCGATTCCTTTCTTGCGCGAAGGAACGGCCTCGTGAAGTGCAGCTAACTTCCGTGCACAGCCCAAAGCCAAGCATCACGCCCTAAACACGAAACCCAAACCCCTTACAGCCCTAAACCCTTAACCCCCAACCCTAAACCAGAAGCCCTAAACCCTACTCACATAGTGAAGACTTGGGTCTCTTTAACGTAGGAGTTACGTTCGCAAGTATCGGGGTTAGGGCTTATAAAGGGTTTAGGGGTTCAATTTACTGGGGATAAATTGTATTTCACCTTATTGTTTTATATAGAGCCCTGACTATACACAATTTTTGGGGCTGTTGACATCGACACCTAGTGCAGATACTTAGGGTCGATTTGGGCTGTCATTGAAAACCCAGCGTGCCGTCACATGGAGTTGCAATGCGAATCGTTACGAGCAGTCTTGTCCAGCCCTGAAGCTTTACCTTAAGGGCATGAGGATAATGATTTTCCAAGAACGCAAGATTCCATGCTGTGTTTCTTCCCAAAGGGTCCAAAGTACCTATATCGTAGAATGTAGGGTTTCTATATAAGGAACTACTATTATGATTTGGGGACGTATCCCCCATAACAGTACATAGGACAACTTGCCAGGACTCCTGGGTATGGCGGTTGGCGCCTACATGAACACCTTGGATGTTCCAGCCATGAACACAATCCCCCTTGGCTTCACCTTCGTATCAGTGTTTGCCAGCATCAGTCTGAAACACAACCTTTGTCGCATGGTCTTGAACAGGTCAGGCGCGTTTATGTGTGGCTGTCTGGCCTTGCGCTGGCGCACCATCTGCAACACAAGCAATGCTCAAGACTGCGGAAACATTGCTCAGCGCATTTGCTGGATCATTGGTGGGACGATCTTTCTGTGCTTGGAGGTCGATCGAGAGAACGGCAAAGCGCGAGAGCAGGAGGCAGCACAACTCGGCTCTGGATTTGAGGGCAGTGTCGTTCATGCAACTTGTTCTGTGGCCGAGGATGCGGCACGAATCCTTGCTGAGATTGGGGATAAGACTGCTGCCGTGGATGATGCGATCCACGTGCTGCTGGCTGCTGGTATGTCGTCTGAGACTCTCAGGGAAGTCGCGCGCGCTGGCGTAGATGTTTCTGGAGCAGGCCATGCTGAGATAGCACTTCCAGGCTTCGTGTTCGCGATAAGCTTCATTGCTATCTATCGAATTTACCATGATATCCAGTACCTTCGTGCAGCCTGGTACTTCTTGCTTGAGCACTGTGTATCGCTTTCGGCAAGAGCTGTCTTGCTCGTCGTTCTCTGTCGCAGCACACGGGAAGAACGATGCTTCATCTTGAAGATGATGCCTGGATCTCCGACAGTATCCTTGTGCAATCCTGATTGTGGCATCTGTTCCATTGCCCAAACTGAAACAAACGGGCACCATAGTCGCCATACCCAGACCTTCCAAAATCCCTTCATTAAGGAATATACCGTAAATACTATTAAGGATCCTACTATAATTTAAGGTATATTCCTTAATTCAGGGGTTTTGGAAGGTCGCCATAGTCCTTCATGGCATACTGGGGCCAAAGTCCGAAAGCCCACCCCAGACCCGGAACCGTAAGACCCCAAGCCCCAGGACAACAAAGATGACGACGATCGTCTTCCTTGTGTTTTGTCCCTTGGTTTCGACTTTGTCATAGTTGGGCAGCACTTTATATCTTTAAGGGTACTTAAACCCAATAAGGAATACCCATGAACTAAAATTCAAAACCTGGCTACGAGACTTCGGCTGGTAGTTTCTGTTCGTACCTACGGCTTCGGCTTGGGGTGCGGTGGAGGGCTGGGGTTTCAGATAGGTTGAGGAATGTTCAGGGTGTAGGGTTCCCAGGTTTAGGGCCTGTGGGTTCAGATATGTCTTCAAAACCAAGCATGTGAAGTTCGATGTTTCATCATGTCGATTTGCTTCCGTACGTTTTTAAAATACTAAGCCAGGAAGTCTTAAGGTAGGTTTTCGGGCACGTTTACGGTTTAGGGCCTTGCGGCCGTTTTTTTGAGGGCTTAGGGCTGTGTGGCCCCTAAACGCTACACCCTATAGCCTAAACCTATAAACCCCTAATCCCTAAACCCTATAAACCCCTAAACCCTATAAGCCCTATAAACCCCTAAACCCTAAACCCAAACCCTATAAACCCCTAATCCCTAAACCCTATAACCCCCTAAACCCTAATTCGTAAACCCTATAAACCCCTAATCCCTAAACCCTATAACCCCCTAAACCCAAATTGCTAAACCCTATAAACCCCTAATCCCTAAACCCTAAACCCTATAAACCCCGAACCCAGGCCCCATCGTCATCATCTTGCAACTTCGTGCTCGAGATGGGTTGCCGCAGCCTGCAGTAGCATCGGTTTAGGGCTTATGGAGTTTAGGGTTTAGGGGTTTAGGGTTTTGGGGTTTAGGGTTCAAGGTTTTTTGTAGATTTTGGTTTCTTGATGAGAGTGATTCGTCGGCAAAAGGCCGTATAGAAGACTGGTTTACTGCCAATGCTATCCCTTGTGGTTCCTTAGAGTGATACTTTCATATACCCCAAAACCTTTCAAGCCTTTAAGGGCCCCCTACCGCCCTTCAAAAAGATGCTACTAGCGAACCAAGGCTGGGGCAGAATTGGGAAGGAAGAGCAGTTTGGTCTGTTTTGATCGCGACGCTCAGTCGCCTTGGACTTTAGCAGAGGGTTTATCGGAGGCCTCACAAGGTGGGATGAAGGTAGGTGGGATTAAGGATCCCTTATATAAGGACTCTTATTTGGGAATGTCCCACCTACCTTCATCCTACCTTTTAAGGCCCCCGAGTTTAGGCTAGAGGTCTGAATACGTAGCAATCATATCACCAAAAAGGGCTCCATTAGAGCGGACTGGAACATACCTCAAAATCCCATGCTTATTGTTGCATCGAAGCAATTGGTCCGGGGAGCACAGTGAGGATCATGTTTTTTTGCCACCGGGAAACGTTGTTGCTCTTAAGAATCATGTCTTGTTGTTAATGTAACACAGTCCAAGGGGTCTTGCAATTATGGTTATTATGGTGATAAGGGCCCTTACGGAGAACGTTAGGACAAAGACCCAGGATCGCCTTCATCGTGGGCTTGGGGTTTGCTTGTTTGGGCATGCGCCGGCTCGCGTCACTGCGGCGGATTGGACCGGGACTGCTGCAACTCTTCCTCACACCGGGTGGTAAGGCGCACACATGGAAGGTAGTTGTCAAAATTATGGTCCCTTTTGGGGTGCCCTTCATATAGGTGCCGTATTATACTAAGGACACGAAAAGAACAACTACACCTTGGGCTTGGGGCATCTACGGCTTGCTAGCACGAATCGGCGGAACTTGTTTTTGTGTTTCATGGCGGGGTTTTGCGGCCAAAGGGGCCGGGAGTGAAGTTGCATGGCGTATGGACCCTACAGCCCTATCTCGTTCTTGACACCTGTCCGTGAAGAGTCCAAGGAAAAGCCTGTAGCAGACTTCATTGTAACCTTCCATCGTTGTCAGAGTACGTACTCCCACAAAATCCCAGAGACTACGCTACCTTAGGTTCGCCAGGAAATTGGACACGTAAGGAGAAACGAAGCACATTGGAGAGCATCGTTGCATTCAGAAGTTTGGAGCCCACAATATGGTCCCCTTACCGTGTTGCTTGTGGCATCTTGTGGCTATGTATAGGGTTCTACCACAGGACTAGTCAAAGAGTAGCAGACAGACGTTGGCGAGTAAACCCTAAACCTCCAAATCCTAAATGCCCTAAGCCCCTGAAACCCTAAATCCTAAATATCCTAAACCTCTAAACTCAAAAATCCTCAGTCCCTGGAACCCTAAACCCTTCAAGCTCCACTTAACAGTTAAGCCCTCGAAGCCCACTGCCCCAGAGGTCTGCAGATGTGGCCGAGGCAGCTGTGGCCGTGCGAGGACATGAAGGAGTACTAATTCTGTTGCAATCGTTTTCAGAGCCGAATTGGCCTGCAGGGGGTTGTCGTTGTTTTGAAAGGGGTGCAGCAAAGAAACTGCGGTTCCATCGCGCTGTTGTAGTTGCAGCGTGTCATATCCCAGTCGGACCGGCTCTTCGAAAGGGCTGCTTTAGCAGCCAGCGGTCCGTGCTTTGTTTGGTACTTCCACTACTCCTTGCTTCTCTTTGTTGCTTGTTGCCACAGTGGCTGGTGCTGAAAGCACAGCCCGTCCTGCAACAGTGGGCCAGTGCGGAAGAATTGTCGTGTGACCGACCGTGAGTCTAAATCGGGTGAGGGTGTGATGTTCTAGCTCTAGGCTTTTGGGCTTCAGGGGCTTATGATGTGAGTGGTGGGTCATGCCTTGCCTTTTGCACTGGCCACTTTTGGTTGCGGGCTCCGTCTTGGTGTTGTTCTGTTCGATGTTCCAACCTCCCCTGGGTTCGGGATGCAGTTTTTCGGTTTGCATAAGGTGAGTTGTCGGTGGCTTTACGCCGGAGCCTGTGGTGGAAATAGGATTTAGGGGAACTACTACAGACAGATACACTACACCTGACCTTGGGCCTTGGCTGATGAAGCTACTCCGGGTTCGAGTGTCCTCGGCTTACAGTTTAGGGTTATGAGAGCTTATGGTATAGGCTTTAGGGTGTTCGGGTTGGGGCGCCGGCCTTACCTTGTTGTTTCGGTTCAATGTTCAAGTTTGGACATCCAAGCAGGCAGACGGACTATAGAGAAGCTTGAACAGTTTGTGACACTGTTCCTGAGAGCTCCTGTCAGTGCACCATATACCCCCACCCTTGCAGGTTTTATCCTGACTTTAAAGGTCACTATACTAGAAGCAGATAGCCTGAATTTTCGGAGCCCTGCGGGCTCAAGCACACGAACAATAGAGTTTAGGGTTCAGGGTTCGTGTAGTGTATAGAGTGCCCGGTACCCAAATGGCAGGGTGTAGCTGCCAAGAGCCATTCAGAGCACAGTATTTGGTACCTACGACCCGATGTAAACCTCGAACATCCAGAGCCTGCTGCGATGAGACTTTGCAACATCCTTGTAGTACCAAAGTTCGAAGTCCCGAGCCTGACGTAAAAAGTTCACTTCCTCTATCATCCACCTGAAACCCAACATGCTAAAGCCGAGGTTGTATGTGGCAGGCGGATCCCGCAAAGAGCGAGAGTTTGGGGAATAGGGGCTCAAACAATTACAATGTTTTTTTGGGGGTGCCTTACTATAATTAGATTATATTATAATGTACCCCAACACCCTATTCTAATTATCAATTAAGGCCCCTAATTAGACGAATTTGAGACGTGGTTTTGCGGATCAGGTTCCAGGCCTTCGTGACGAATTATGTGTGCGGTTTCTAAAATGGATGCCAGCAACACCCGGAGTTCCTTCTGGTTCAGAGTTTAGAACCCTAACCACGCAGTGCCAGGGTCACAAGGTTCTCTGTAGCAAGAGATCGCTAGCTCTGCTACCTAACCCTTAGCTAGCTCTACGGCTTCGGGCTTTAACTTCTACGGTTTTCCACCAGAAGCCTTTACTATGCCTATGGATCCTAAACCCTAAAGAAAAACGAGCAATACAAGAAGGCCTGCGCCGAAATCCCTGAAACAGAGACAGCCCGATACCCATTGATCAAGCGGGCATTCAATGGGTAAATGGAGCACATCTTAAACCCAACATCCGGAAAAAAGCGCAGAAAGCCTTCGGTAACCTTCAACCCGATAAACCCCAAACCCTGTTATTACCCCAAGTCAAGCCCCCAAAAAAAACACCTGGCAGTTACAGGAGAAAGGCACAGCCCGTATGGAGGGTTTATGGTTTAGGGATGCCGAGACATAACTTCGACTTAAGATGCAGAGACCGTAGATAGAATATAGACACACTACGAAAGTAGGATCTTAAGTGGAAGGACCCCTACGAATCTGGTATTCAATCCCTACTGCCCTTCCCTCGAGCCGAAATATCCACCATTAAGGTCCGTAACAAAGTAGTTGTGCACCCCACTATGAGACACTTTCTGTACATACTAGACATACTAGAAATACGGTTAACTCTCCTGACACCCTGAACCCTAAACGGCCCAAAAGCCCCAAACACCTTGAGCCTTCAACATCCGAAGTTATCTTCAAACACCCCAAAAACCAAGGCTAAAAGCCCTAAAGGCCTTAGCCATAATTCGAAAGCCGCAAAAAGCCTACACGGCCGAAGCACGCCGAAAACAACTCAACAAATTTACATTCAATTCTAACTTTTTAACGAGGACTCAAAAAGCACCCACAACGATCCTAAACCAGATCAAAACATATACCCTAAAAAGCAAAAAGCAACCCAAAAGGGGGCGAAGATGCCTCGGGCCATCGCCTAAGCGACGTTTGGGCCTCCCAGGACCCTATGCCTTTCTATGGGATCCTCAAGGTTTAGGGTATTTAGGGTGTTTAGGGTGTTTAGGATTTAAGGGTTTAGGTTATTCAGGGTATTTTGTGTGTCTAGTGTGTTTAGGGTGTTTAGGGTTTATAGTTACTACTATTTGCTTAAGAACCCCCAAAAAATAAAAAATATATTCCTTATAGGGATAATATAGAGATTATATTTGTTTTTTTTATTTTTTGGGTGGTTCTTAAGCAAATAGTAGGTTATAGGGCGTCAAGGGAGGGGGAACCTTATAGGGTGTTAGGGCTTTGGGGGTTTAGGGCTGCAGGGGCTTAGGGTTTAAGGCTTTAGGCGTTTAGGGTTTAGGGTTTAGGGTAGGGTTTAGGGTTTAGGGTTTAGGCGTTTAGGGTGTTAGTGTCGCTTGTCTGTTTTTGTGGCTCTAGGGATGTAGGCGTTTAGGATGTTAGTGTCGCTTGTCTGTTATTTTTTGTTCTAGGGATGTAGGCTTGAGGGCGTTGGTGTGGCTTGTCTGTTTTCTCGTTCTATTCGGTTCCAGGGTTGCGGAATATGGCAATTGGGCGACTAGGGTTGAGGTGTCGGGGGCAAGGGTGTAATTAGCATGGTTGGGGTGCAAGTTGTGTTGGCTGCAGGGTTGACTGATTCAGCTTGAGGGTGTGGGGTTGAAGGTTTAGTTTAGGGTCTTTACAGGACCCAGCAGGAGGAACCCAAGCCCCTGACCTTCTGCTGCTTGTTCATGTGCTCGTCAGCCTCCCTTGAATCGGATTTAGTAAACTACGGCTCCGGCTTCGCTATTTAGGGTGTAGTTTCGAAATGCTACAAGTCTTGGGGTTCGTGGTCCGGCTGGGGGGTTGGGGTTAGGCTCCGGCGCCTACGGCCGGAGTGCCGTGAGTTTAGGCCTTCATGTAGATCTGACACAAAAACTGACACCAAAACAAAGAGCCCGGGAGCCACAGGTATTCAGCCCCTGAGCCCTAGACTTTGAACCTGTTACAAACCCCGAAGCATGATAACCCTATCTTTTTGGCCCGCACACTTGAAGCATCTAAACCCTTAACATGATAACCCTATCATTTTGGCCAGCAAATTTGAAGCATCCTCCTGTGAGGATGGTGGAGCGCACTGGCGCTGCATGGCCCAGGTCGCGCCGGTGCCAGAATTCCATGGCGTTGTAAATACCATACAAAAATAATAAGCTAGCTTTAAGGCCCTTGACGTACTTGTCTAGTCTGTTCGTTGCTTAGTTGGTTGTTCCGCATTTTAGAGAATTGCGATTGGTTTGCTGACGGTCTAAGGGAGCAGGGCTAGGATCCACATGCAGGACCTCTGCTGCCGATAAGCATTTGAAGGGAGCCAATTTGGGGAGCAACTATTGCTGGGTCAGGTACTTGGTCCCTTAGAGGTCTTAGAGGTGCAAAGAGATCTGAAACCCTCTCCTACTTGGTCGACCCCTCACCACCTTACAAACAAACCTGTGTTAGCTCAGGACAAGATCAGGTTTTCGTGTAGGATCTGAAAATTTTCAAGCAAGCGACAGCAAGCACTGGTCAAATGTCCAATCTAACCCAGTCGAACCGTACTCGCCTGCAATGTTTCATGCTCTGCGCCTCGCCGTAGAAGCCTATATACCAAGATCATGGCCTGGGTTCCTTCTGATAACTATAGTATCAGATACCCGCAAACCCTAGTCTAATTATTCCAAGCCCCTAAAATAGTTGATGCCATCCTATTCCCAGAACCCTTTGAGATTCATGCAGTGAACAAGCCTTATTTGAATCAACGATCTCTGTAGGAAAAGGGCACTAGCAAAAACCCTAAACTCTAAACCACCATGCCTTCCAGGACCCTAATGGCCCTTTCATAGAGCCCTTATGGTCCTTAAGAGTGGCTATTTGGGGTACAGTGGAGGGTAGTTGGGGGTCTACGCCCGAAAACCCGAAACCGTCTACTACAGGGGGCTTAAACAATTACCAGTTCCTGATTATACTAAAAGTATAAGGGGCCCTATTCTAATTATTAACGGCCCCCAGTACAGCCCTGGAACAGTTAGCCCGAATCTAGACCTTCGAGGACCACTTCCTCCGAAGACGTCCAGACCACCGAACCCCAAGCATTCTTGCTGTGATACTTTAGGCCCTTTAGGCCCTAACACCTTAGAATAAAAAGAGCCCCAATAGTTCGAAGATGTAGGATGGGAAGCCGAAATCAATAAGATAGGGTTTCGGGGTATATTATACTTCAATGATAATCAGGAACCCCCAAAACAATATTGTAGTTATTAGGTAGGGCTCCTACATTATCTTTCAACTGCACCAGGATGCCCCATTCGGCGCACGCGCTAGCCCAGCCCTGGCTGCGGTGCCGAAGCGTCCGGCGACGCGGCAAAAAACTCGCGGACTTCCTGGCATCGTCCGGGTTTTGTGTTTTGAAGATCTGGGTTACAGGTTTAAGTTAGAAGGGGCCCCCACCCTGTAGTAGTGGTAGAATAGGAATATAATAGGGCCCTAATATAATACTTATAGTCACCATTACTAACAGGGTGGGGGGCCCTTTCTAAGGTTCAAGGTTTTTTGGGGGTTTGGAGGTTGGCCGGGTTCATGTGTAGTTCAGTAGTGCTCAGTAGCGCCGGTCCGAGGTGAACATGTAGGGCCGAAAGTAATTTGAGTAGATATCATGCCGCGTGTTCTTTGTTCAGAGAACGGGCGTGGCACTGAAAGGCGGCAGCATTTGCACACGCCCGCTGCAACAGAGTCTTGATATGTTCCCGATATACTCATAAAGTCCCTGCAGCAAAAGCACCGATGCGCTTGCAAACCTTGGAAAGGCTAAGAGCCGTTCAATCCTGAAAGCAGATCGCCTCCGAGCCTCAGGCTTCGTAGATCTGCCCAACTCCTAAACCTTAACCCTGAAACCCTTAACCTGAATCCCCAAACACTAAACCCTAATCACCAAGCCCTAAATGCCAAAACAACTTAATCCCCAAACACTAAGACTTATAAAGCAAACAAACCTCAGTCCCCAAACCTTCAATCCCCAAACCCTAAACCCTAAACCCGAACCCCTAAACCCTAAATCATCCTAAACCCTAATTCCCCCAAACCCTAGATTCGGCTAAGCCCCTAAACCCGAACCCCTAAACCCTGGATCATCCTAAAGCCTAAATTCCCCCAAAACCCCTAAACTGGGCTAAAAACCCCTACTTGGCGGGTCGGGGGACTTAGTAGGTAGGTAGTAAGTAGACGTATAAGTACCCTAAAAGGGACCCTAATTGGGGTTATGGTACTTATAAGTCAATAAAAATGACCAGTTGCTAAGTCCCCCGACCCTCCAAGTAAGCCTTCAGTTGAGGAGAGGGTCATCCTTTGCGGCGGCATGGCGGCGTCGGCCGAGCTTTGCCTTGAGCCAAGCAGTGTTACCTAGAAGTTTAGGGTTTATAAGGGGTTTAGGGGTTTGGGGTTTAGGTCCTCCAGGATTGCTCCCAAAGAGTCCAAGCGCCAATATTGTAGGTACTTAGTAGACGTATGGGCCCCGCAAGTGTATACTATACTAGTACTTGGACCCTTTGGGGCATTGAAGAGTTGTATGTGTTTTTTTATGTTTACAGGCTTATTAGTAAAGGTCTTAGTAAGGTTTAGAGTTGGCTAAGGGGTTGTGTAGTTTTGGCTTGGAAAGGTGCTGTTACACAAGTTTGCCTTAGAAAGGACTATTCACGTGTCTGCTAAGGCTCTGTGGAACACCATCATCAGCTAGGACACCTGTAGATGAGAGACGAACGATGTCGCGGCAGTCTAAGCCAGAGCTTCCCGGTATCATTCTCTTGAAGACCTTGTGATTGAACCCGAACCCTAAGCCCAAAACCCTGAACCCCGAACCTTAAACCCAGAACCCTAAGCCCTAAAGCCCATTCTCCCCAAGCCATTCAGTCTTCCAGGGTGGCGGGATGGGTCCTAGCATGATGGACACGGAGCAAAAATGAACAACCTGCGGCCCTAATCCTAGAACCTTACACCCCTACCAGACCTAATTCCTGAGCTGCTAAACCCTAAATTAAACCCCAACAGCCTGAAATACGGAGGTCTTAAGTATCTGAAACTAAGTTCAAGCTGCGGCAGAGAAAAAAATCCCGGCCTCAGGTCTGGACGTGTGGGTCAGCGAGGATGCAGGCATCCAACCGTCAGGGTTGAAGCGGCAATCCTGAATCCCCAATAACCTACATAGGGAGAGCGACATAAAGAGAGAGAGAGAGAGAGAGAGAGAGAGAGAGAGAGAAACGAGACAGACAGTTGAGTCACAGGGAAAGCAGAGAGGGTGCTCGCTCCGACGAAGAGAGCGAAGACAGACAAGATGGAAACGGCGGTCCGAGCCGGAAAGGAGACTGAAGAAGGGAAGGAAAGGAGCGAAGAGATAGAGAGTGCAAACTCAGCGTTCGATAACGATGCGTCTTTCCGCTTGTGCATGTTGGACTTTACAGCGAAACTCGAGTCTTTTTCTCCACCTTGCGGAGATTGAACACCGCTCTCAGCGAGGAGAGCAGGCCTTGTCGTGGACATTGTTGCAGTGCAACAAACAGCATACTAACATCGCTGCCTATTCTGTAGTATAGGACCCTGAGCAAGGGGTGGTAGGTTACCTTGTGAAAATTCAACGCAAGAGCCGTACCTGCAACTTGCGAGTGGTTTCTGTGCTTTACCTGTCGCTGATCCTGTCTGCTATAGATAACGAAGCCGTCATGACAAGTAACCCAAACAGAAATTTAGGCTTTCTTGGCTACAGGTAAGGCTTAAGACTAGAGTCGAGGCCTAAGGTTTGGAGTTGTAGAGTCTAGCGCAAGCAGTCATGCAGACAGCTGCCTCCCTGCGATCGCTTCCGAACTCCTATGCAGACTAGTGTTTATCTCGTTTTTTCTGAAACTAAGGGGACTGCAGCTGCCGGATATCGCAGCGGGATAAATCAGAAACATCATTCCTGAGGGGTCTAAACTGGAATTCTCCCACCGGCCCCCCAAATTCCCCCCCCGGCCCCCGTCCCCCGCCTCAAACACCAACGAATCTTGTCTGATTGTTCGAAATTTTGTATTGCCGCAGCAGCTGAATTGGCCGCCGACGACAGGCTACAGCTGGAGCCAACTCGATCGACCTCCCTGGGACAGAGCCTCAAAATGGGTGTGTCGGATGGTGTTAATACAGGGGCCGAAATAATTGCCTATACTATTTTGGGGATTCCTTATTATGGTTACTGTATAATGGGCCCCAAAACTCTACTTTAATTATTACGGCCCCTGTGGCACCGTCTTTCACGGCCTTGTCGGGTGCCAGGCCGATGAGGTTCAGGGTTACTGGTGCGAATGACTGATACATTTCTCAACAGTTTAGGGTTTAGGGCACAATACCTGGTGGTTTGGGTTTGTCCCGATTCTGCCTCTGGGTTTATTAGGTTTAATCTTGAATTTTTGGAGGCAATACCCTAAAGTCCTACAGTTTCGACCTTTGCACGCCGGCTCTTTTCTTAGGTGGCACTGCTGTCCCGTTTTACGGGCGGAAGCAGGGAAGTTTGATTTCGTCATTCCGGAAGAACGCAGGCCCACATCACCGGCCGATTTCGAAGCGCCCTGCTGCCACTGCCTCCGGCCCGGAGAACCCAGCGTGCCTTTAGGGCTTGAAGGCTTGCAGGTTGGGTCGGGGCAATCTTTCCGGTTTGGGGAGCTGTAAAAGGCGTTTTGAACAGGGTTCAGGGTGTTCTCAGTGCTTGGGAAGCTCGAGTTGGTTTACCATGCTCCTCAGAATAAGCATGGTGTACCCCAAAAAACCTGTTCTAATCATTAAGGCCCTGATAGTCATGGAGTTTATGGTGATGACATGAGGGTTCAGGGCTGTAGGGGATGAGGATTTTGGGTGCGCTGGCCCTACATCTAGGTTTTAGCCTATCAAAACTTGGAACTACGAACCATAAGCCTTAGCTCTGAAAAGCAAGCCTTGCAATCTATGCCACAACCCAAACAGTGGACGTCCGTGTCTCAGGTTTGGGCGTAAAGGAAACGGACAACAGGTAGAACAGAGCCCGGCATATGCTTTTGCGCCAGCCCTGCATTCTCTGTTTTCATGTTCCTGGTATCGGGTTTTATCTATACTCTCGATGAAGTTGCTGTTGGCTATCGAACTTGATGATTAGGAGTTTGATTGTAGCACCAACTTACCACAGACCCTAACTAAACCAATAAACCTTGAAACCCTAGACTCTAAACCGGCTCCTAAGACGGGCTGTGCGGTGTACCCTGAAAAGCCCCCTGGAGCCTCTTTCGAGGCTGCCGGTGAGACGGCAGAGTTCAGTCAAACCGCACTTCGGCATTCTCTTGGGGTTTAGGGCCTGGAGTATAGAGCTGTTGGTTTAGATTTTTGACTTCTACAGAGTCTGGTGTAGAGAGCTGTTGCTTCTCAGCTTACGGTTTACACGAAAGGGTTTACAGGGTTCAGGATTTAGGGGGTCAGCTTTGAAGTGGGTACGATGGGGAGCTTCGGTTGTGCATGAAGTGTTACTGGGCTTGTGTGGGGATGTCGGGGTTGTCTGAGTTTCAGGCATATGTGGCGATTCCGAAAATTGGGGACCCTAAAATTGTACCGTAAATAGTAGGATTCTTACCATAAGGACCCCAAAATAAGGTACCCTTAACTTTCGGAAACTCCCATATGTGGCGATTCTGCTGATGGCTGTTGCGTCAGAGAGGACCTGACAATCGCGAAGCAAAGGTCGACCAAGTTGTCATAAATTGCATGCCAGCGCCGCCTTAACCTGGGCTTTGGAGTACCATACTTTAATACTTTTTTGGGACCTGCTACTCAAAGGGAACCAATTATGAAAAGCAAGTCTATACTTTTTTCTCCCCGGTTACTTCAAAGCCCAGTAGCCCACGCCCATCAAGCCTCATATTCAAGCTGTGATTTACAAGTGCGCCGCCATCATAGTGGATCCAGGAGCAGGTACTGCTGTTCTCGCTTCTATTCTTCTGCAGTACTTACAGATGGTGGGGTCTCGCGATTAGGCCTTGAATGGGAGTTCTTTGGCGTAGTTGCAAATTCTACTGCTTGCCTAGCCCTAAACGACCGACCTTCAGCCACCATAACCTGCTTACACATGGGCGGTTGTCAAAATTAGGGGTACCCTAAATATTAGGTGCCGTATTATATTAAGGACCCAAAAAGGGACCACAGACCAACCACATGTCAACCATAATGTATACTAATTCGCTATGGACCTACAGAAAGGTAGGTTTTGGCACTTGTAGTTCGAGGGAGACAGTGTAGTGTTAAGAGGACGTGGCAGCCACTCTCGGGCTTGGGGTATTTTTGCTTAAACCCTACATGAACCGTAAAGTTCAGGGTCCATTGGCCCAGGGTTCGCAAAGTAGATGGCAAAACAGGCAACGTTATGTGCACGGAACTTCGGCCAGGGGGTTATGCCATCGTATAGCTATGAGAACTCACCTTCAAGGAAGAATATTGAATATTGGGCTTTGTCAGGCTTCGGTGTTTGGGCTTTGGGGTTCAGGCTTAGTAGGGTGCAATGCTTTTGAGAGTCCAGGGTGTGCATTGGGTTTCCTGATTCTTGTCCCCCGATCCCAGGCCAATGTGCTGCTGGTAGGTGGATGTTTCATTGATGGGGGCGATGGCGCTTACGGCGGCTTTGAGCGTCCTGTCAGCAAGGAGACGTTGTTGCCCCAAGTTTCCAAGAATGATTATTTCTGCCCCCAAGGCTTGTAAGGCGTTGGGGCTTAGAGTTTATTAAGTTGGGTTCCAAAAGGGGGTTGGGAGATAAGCAGGAAAAAGCTATTCGCTTGTACTGGTTATATGACCAAATCTAGCTTTACTGACGGTTCGTGGCTGTAGTCGTGTCTTTCAAATCCACTGCCATTTGGATAGCATTGAATTGCCGGTGGTTTCATGCAGAGCCTCCCTGTCGATCATGAGTCTATGATTCGTTCGGAGTATATATGGGTGTTTCCGAAAATAGGCGACCTTAATCTAGTACCCTAAATAGTAGTATCCTTATTTTAAGGACCCCAATGTAAGGTACCCCTATTGTTGGAAACTCCCATATGTTGCATGTTATAGATGTGGTGCCAGTGTTGTATACTTGTTGCTTCGTGGTAGAAAGAAGTGTTCCAGCCACCGAACCCCAACAAACCTTGCCGGATCTGGATAGCTTGGAACGTGGCTTTGCAAATCCCAGTGGCTTCTGCGCACAGGGCACGCAGTAGCTGGCAAAGACCAGACTCTTATCACGAACCGCCAAAAATCCCAAAAGCGGCGGAGAGGGTGATACATCTAGACATCCATTGGTATCTGAAGCAATGCATGTGCTCAATGCTGCAGGAGGAACGTGCACATGTGGCTTGTCTTAGTTATACATGAACCTTTGCATTGCAGGACGTCATTTCAAAGCCTTTCCCAGCCGTCACCAAAAAAAGCAGTTGCGCTTCCCAGTATGGATGTATTGTAATATATATATATATATATATATATATATATATGCATACTCTCACACACACACACACACACATATATATATATATATATATGTAGCGAGCCCTCATACAAATCGTACTGGTGCTAACCTGCCGCCAACCTATCTCAGATACCACCCAGCCAAATACCTGAACAGCTAGAATCGGGTGTTGGGGGGATATATGACACATGTTCTTCTAGAATCCTAGAACACTAAGAATAATTTTGGTATTCTCGTCCGTCCCCTGTGTGGTTTAACCGGCCTAGGAGACTGATGCACGATGTTTGGGAAGGTGCGTGAGCTCGAGTTCTGACTCCAAAGCTGGGCACGGAATTATGTCACAAGGGGTTTGGAGCAGGGTTTAGGGTTTAAGGTTCAGGGTGTAGGTTTAGGGTTCAGGGTTTAGGATTCAGGGGTTTAGGGGTTTATACAGGTTTCAAGGTTCAGGCAAAGCCTTTCAGGGTGACGTGCAGCACAGTAAAGCCTGCAAGTTTTCGGTCTGCGATTTCTGATTCCCTTGTATGACTTCTTGCTTTGGAAGGAATGCTTTTTGGGCACCCAGGTAGCATCCGCGCTCCCAGAACTCCAGGCCCCGAACCGTTGGGGCATGCAAGGCCCGAAATAAACTTACTATAGTGTCCCTCACATAATTACCCATGGTATTTTTTTTGGGGGGGAGTACCTTATTTTAATTTAGTATAGTGGGCCAAAAAACCTTATAATTCTAATGTTTAGGCCACTATATTGTAGTATCCTTATAGTATCCCTTATAATGGTAGCCCTTATATTTGCATATATGGCCCCAGAGGTATTGTAACTATTAAGGCCCCTATATGAAACCTTGCGATCCGGCTTCTTTGGCTGCCAGGCCGCGTCAACTTCGGCAAGAAGGTGCGGCCCCGATCCGCCTCTCACACACAGAGCTCCGGTAGTTTAGAGTTTTCGGCCCTACTTATACCTTTCGTGCGGATTTGCTATGGTCCGATTTTCTGGGTTCCGATGCTTTCCATGGCCCAACGACGACCCTAAGTCCTAATCCTAGAGCCGAAACCTGGGGGGATAGGATGGGTTTCTTGAACTCGGTGGATTCATCTCGCCGAAGGCAGCGGAGTGGAGAAGCTGGGGTACTCAGACGGATGATCGTGGAAGGCCGGCGACCAGCCAGAAAGTGATGTAATAGTATGCTAGTTTTGCCTAGAGGCTCATACCCTACCCCTTTCTTAAGGTACCTAATTTTCTTTATAACAGATCCTAATCATAAAACTAGGTATCCTGAAAAAGGGGTAGGGTATGACTCTCTAGGTAGACTTTGTAACTATTGTATGTCACACTATATCACACAACCCAACCGTAAGGGTCTACAAGGACATAAACCCAATGCTGGAACTCTTAGAGTCCTTGATGGTGGATGCTGTGAGCGACAGAGAGTAAGTGGGGGTTCTAGGTACAGTAGGGTGTCGGGGTGTTTGGGCCCCATACCCCAGACACGAAACCAAGAACCGGCAGCACTTAAGCGCGAAGCTATGAGCCTACAGTCTCGTCGCGTTGTTAACCCACGCTGACAACAACAGGTCTCCATGTCGGAATTCGGTGAACAAGGTCTTGGGTTTAGAGATGGGGACGTGAGGCTTAGGGTTCAGGAAATGTGAAGAAGCATTCAAGTGAACGGAAGAGTGCAACGTCTTCGTGGGTTTCGGGATTGGGATTGCAGCTTGGGGACGCTTGAAGTATGGTTCCTGCAAAGAAAGGTCTGGATAAACTAGTGCCCCTCTATAATCCCTGTATAGTTATACTATAATCAACCCGAAACCCTATTCTAATCGTGCAGGCCCCCGTACAAACCCCTGATTAAAGCTCCCTGCCCAAACCCAAATCCTACAAATTAACAAGCCTTAGACCCTGCACCATCCTGCACCCAAACCCAGAGAGCATGGCTTCATGTGATCGAAGCAGAGTTTCTCGATCAAAATAGGGAATCAAGAAAAGAAGCTCATCGCAAAGTGGCCTATGAGCCCCTCACGGTCAGGTCGCCCTTCTTCTTTCATACTAACATAGGCACTCCACTATTGAGCCCGCAATGCGTGAATCTCAAACCCTAAGCCTCAACTGGAAAACCCCGAACCTTAAGCCGCTACCCCAAACAAGAACAAACATAATCCTGACATCCCAAACCCCTCCCTTGAACCCCACCGAAACGAACCTTGTTAAAGGAAACATATAGGGAAGCCATAGGGTTCAGGTAAGCCTTAGACTCACGAAGACCGCCTGCCTGGGCAACTCCGGCCCGCACACTCCTCAAGCCCCAACGCCCAGACCGCTATGGAAGAACGCTGCAAGTCAAAAAACGACGAAAAAAACAAGACAAACTTTAAGCCCGAAATGCGAAAATCATTAAATCCTAAGCCCTTTAAACCCTAAGCCTCAACCGGCTGGATGGTGGCGGTTTTTCTGCGCTTCGGGCGCTGCGATGCATTCCGTCGTGCCGCAGAAAACAGGGCTGAGATCCACATCGTCGTCCGGGTCGCTCCTGCCCCTTTCCACAATTGGGGTTTTGTAAGGACTGTATCAGGGTCTGCACGGATTTCGTGGGACTTTCAGGTTGTATGTGGCTCGACTTGAAATTATGATGGGGGGGTTAAGGGGCTCATTTTTTGAACAACTTGCGGCTCGACGTTTGCATAACATGGGCTTCAGGCACAGGGCTTTCAGTTCACTGTTGCGGCTTGGGTTCTCATGTGTCATAGGGTCAAGGGCAGCTTTGGGGCAGCTTTAGGGTGAAAGGGACCTGGGATAGGCTTCTAATGACAGTGCAGACTTTCGGCCTGGGGCTTCGCACCGTCGCTTCTATGATTAGGTTGACTCAGACGGTCGTCTTCTGGGCACTTGTCAAGGACTTTTATTACATTATAGTAGCCGGCATCTATAGTAAATAGCATTAATGACATGGATTCACTACTGTGGTTGCTCAAAGTAAGTTCCGTAGCAGGAACACCGTTTTGGAGGTTATTCTGCTCATGTCCATCGCCGTCCTTTCGCGGTCTATAATTATCTCTATATATATATATATATATATATGTACACATACCCGGAACCAAGGGATTAGGTGCTAGTTGCCCAAAGCACAAAACCACCTCGACAGATATAGGCACCTTTGAACCCGACACCCGAAAACTTCAACGGTAAGCGCCTTGAGCTACAATAAATCCCGATAGAGTTTCTCAACTGATGATTAAGCCCTAGACCCTTTTCCCGACGCCCTTCATGGGCCCCATATTAGGCGATCGTGGTGCTGTAATCCCTTGAGCTCGAGAGCACTAACGGTCACTAATGCCCTCAGCAACCTTAAAGCATAGAAGTCAACGGTAAGTGTCCAGGGTTTGAGGTTTTAGGGCTTAAGGTCTCTGAGCCTTTAAAGCCCCGGGGATTGCCGTAAACACCAGGAAAGCATTAACGAAACCCTGAAAACCCCAAGAGCATTCAGATTTGATCCACCAAACACGAGCCAAACGCCTGAGCAGCACCTTCTACCCTATCTTGGCGGTCGCTTATATTAGACGCCGGCGACTGCCTGCCAAGATCCAAGGCCCAACGGCCTAACTTTGAGTGGACTTTCAGAAGAGGAGCTGGAAGTCTACCTCAAGCAATGCCTCATTGGGAAGGCCCTCGTTCAAGGTTTGGGGGTTTTGGGGCTCAGGCCTTGGGGATTTACGGTTTTTGTTGGGGCGTTCAGTGTCTATAGGCATTTAGGGTATGGGGTTTAGGGTTTAGGGATTTCAAGTTTGGGTGCTAAGGTTGTCGGGCTGATTCTTTTCATTTTTGAGGTGGTTGGGCGTTTGTTGCTTTCGGGGTCTCAGGGCGCGGAATTGCCCCAGGGCCCTCGAGGGCCCAACTAGACGAAATAGAGTCGTCCTTGGAACTGGACTTAGAGCTGGGGCTTCGGGTATATGGTAGCTACCCAGAGGCCCCATAGTAGTTCTTTTTGGGCTTCATATTTAGCATTCTATGAGGTAATCCCAAAAAGGAACTACTTTGGGGCTTATGGGTAAGCCCAAAAACCCCTGCATGATAAGTTAAGGCTTGTTTGATATATTCTGACACATATGTCCGAAAAAGGGTGGGTTTGTCTAGGGGCTGAAGCTACGTCGAATTTAGCTGGTTGAAGCGAAATCTCCTCAACTCCTTCCCCCGAGCATAAACCTGAGGCGGAAGACTCTTAATCCCCAATTAAACTTAAACCCCCGATGACCTACGGATGAGGTTTAGGGTTTAGTTCGGGTGCCGGTTCTTGGAAGCCACGCATGTTCGCGCAGGCGTTGGTCGCGGACGTTCGGACACTTCTGGAACTCAGAGTCGACCCGAACTGCAAACTGGAGCCTTCGGCCCGTCACTCATTGCTGGGTTCCAAAAGTGCGCTTTAAGGGTTCTCTGACTAGGATGCCCAGTAGTACCCTTATTCCCTTTTTGTAGTCCTAGGTTCCTTATAAAGTTACCCAATACCAAAAAGAGAGGCCTTTTTATTCTTAGGTTACTGGGTATCCTAGCTGAGGTGCTTGGGGGATTTTACAGGAGAAGCCTGAATCACGGGTACGCTAGTTCCCCAGAATCCCGTGTTATCCGTACAGTACAATGGGCAGAGAACCTATACCCCTATCTTACGATAAAGAGAAGCTCAACTCTTTTGTGTGAGGCTGCTCATCCGCTAGGCAAGCTCTTTTTCTAATCACTAACTCTGCATGTATAACAGGCATGAATGTATGGTTACTGACATACGTACATGGAATCCAACTGGGTTGTTCTTTGGGATAATTTTTAATTTCCCAGATTTCCTTATAAAGGGAACCTATTCATAATAATTTTCAAAGGGTTTAGAACACAAGAACCCAAGGAAGCAGACACATGGTTGAGACATTCTGCGATAAACAGCCGCAGGAACAGACAATGCATGCTGAGAGATCCGCACAAGCCATCAACTGAGACATCATCTATCTGGTTGTGCAGCAAATACATGAACCATGAACTACAAGGTGTGAAACCCTAGAACCCCCCCTCCGAAGCCAAGGACATCCTAGAGGCTCCAAGTACCCAGGTACTAGGGTTTTAGGTCTTTAGGTTCGTTGGCCGGCCTTAGTATATTATCCTCTGGCCGGTTTGTGGAAGCGAAATCCTTACTAGCTGGGCACTTGATCCTTGGGGATTATGACTTATGAGCCCCCCAAACTCTTCATGCTGTTCCTCAGCCCCAAAAGCAAGATCTCAGGACTACGAGCTCGGCCGCAAGCACAAAGAATTTCGGGGAACGCCTCTGACTTTGGCTGTCAAGCTTGGAGAACAGGATGGGGTGTACATAAAGGTCTGAATAATCGGCAGCACTGTAAGAGTGTCCTGTTATCGTGCATATACAAGCACCATTTGCCCAAAAACTTGACACGAATTGTTACTCACGCATACAACCCAACCCTAAACCGTAAACCCTGAACCCTAAGCGCAGAAGCCTTCAAGGACCTGCCTATTTTAGGGCCGATAGATCAGGAGGTTTCAAGACGCTCCTTAAGTTGCCTGCCGTGGTGCATGTTAAACCCTAAACCCTAAACCCTAAAGGAACCCATCCGGGGGGGTTTAGCTCTTAGCGCCTTTGGGGTTCAGGGGCTTCGGGGCCTCGGGGTGTAGGGGTGATGTTAAGATTGAGTTTCATAGAGCTATCAGGGTTCTACAGGGGCTTTGGAAAAAATTGTTCACAGGGGATCTAGTAGTCTTGTAGAAGGGTATTTTCAAAGGGTTCGTGAGCTTATGTCGTATCTAACTACTTCAGCCTTAAAAGGCATCTCGCAGCATGCACATGGGCCGTTAGGTTAAGGGCACTTCTAGAACTCCCCCGGACTACCAGGACATCGTGCACGTTTTGCTGGCCTTCCGTGCCGACCCAGAAAGCGTCTACTCCATGACCGTTGGCAAAGAAAGGACGCACGTCTCGAAGAATGGCAGTTTATGATGAGCTACATAGGCCCTGTAATGCATACATACTGTAGGCAGCTGCATCAGTCGAGCGGGTCCTTGAGTTGTTGCATAAGCTCTAAACCCTTCGACAGGCTTGTTTCCACCGCGGTCCTTTCGAAGGGATGGTAGGATATAGAGGCCTTAATGAATGCGAA